GAAACCTCTTGATGAGGAGAAATGGTAGGTCATACACCAAGGTATATCCCACGAGTTGTATGGAGACCTCACAAAGGTAGGGGGAGTGTTTTGTTCTTGTCTTTATAAGGAAAACAGAAAAAAGAAATCTCCAAAAAGCAAAAAGACACCGAACGTGTAGATGCCTAAAGAAGACAGAATAGCTATCCTGAAGGAACCGTCTACTCTCACTTAAAAAACTTTATGTATATAGTTTTACCTGCATGTATGTCTGTGTGTCATATCCATGCCTTGTGCCTGTGGAGGTCACAGCAGATGCCCTGAAACTAGTTGTGAGTCTCCATGGGGAAGCTGGAAATCGAACCTGTGTCCTCTTGAAGAGCAGCCAGTGCTCTCCAGCCCCTTACTTTTAATAGCTCTATACTTAGAAAAAGAGAAAGAAAGAAACTAACTCCATTTTTAGCACTCTTTTCTTCCCATTTACTCTACAACTGTGCTATTCTTATTCTGTCTTCTATCTCTATCTCTGATTTGTTTTCCTGATAACTCACTGGTATAACCTGCTGAGGCTCCTCTACTTATTTCTTCTACCTCTGAAGCTTAGTCTCTTGTTATTCACTAAAGACAACTCTTCCATCTCATAACTGACAATACTATCCCCATGTCAAGGACTCTTCACCCTTCCTTGAGCTTCTGGAACCCGACATTGATTGCCCAGTGATAACGACTCATTCCTTCTACTCCCTGAGGTACTGTGACCAGGCAAGGCAGCGCATAGGTTCCTCCATCTTATATCCTTGCTGAAGCCATTCCAGGTTTAACTAGAATCTCATCTCCTTGACCGTGAATCCCATGGAAAACAACCCAACTCTATCCTAGGAACCAAAGGTCAAGATGCCCTAGCTAACTTACCTCAGCCTTTGCTAAAACTGCCTGTTTGTGAGGAATCTCCCCTCCAGCTAACTGTTTATCTTAGCTGCCAGTTTGTGAAAACTCCCCTCCAACTGACCACTTATCTCAGCTTCTGTTAGACTGCTTGCTACAAACTGCTTACTTCTCGAAAGCGCTCCCCTGCACCTACTGAACAAGGGGCCAGGGTGTAGTTTCAGCCTTTAAAAACCCTATGTAGTGGATGGGAGTTGGGATGGATACTCAGGTCCCTGAACACTTGGATGTGGTCTCAGTCTGCCAGAATAAAGACTTTCAATTGGCTATACACTGTGTCTAAGTGGTCTGAGTGGGTCATCTCTTGGGAGCTCTCCTAAAGGAAATGATACCATCTATTCAGTTCATTTTCGTTTTCTAAAGATTTACTTTCATTTTACGCATCAGTATGAGTATTTTTCCTGCATGTAAGTTTAGTGTGTTGTGTGCATACCTGGTGCTTGCAGAGGCCAGAAGAGGGCACGGGTCCCCTGGAACTGACTGGGACCTGACCCCAGATCCTCTGTAAGAGCAACAAGTGAGCCATCTCTCTCTCTCTCTCTCTCTCTCTCTCTCTCTCTCTCTCTCTCTCTCTCTCTCTCTCTCTCTCTCTCTCTCTCTCTCTCTCATATTTTGGTTTTTTGAGATAGGGTTCCTCTGGCTGTTCTAGAACTCACTCTGTAGACCAGGCTGGCTTTGAATTTAGGAGATCTTCCTGCCTCTGCTTCCTGAGTGCTGGGACTAAATATGTGCACCACCACCACTCACCTGGGAATTTCTCAGTTATTAAAATAAGAGCCTAAGAGTCCGTAAAGCTACAGAGCATATGCTTCAGATCCAGGTGGTTAAAAATACAACCCCGTTGTCTATTGTTAGTAGCCATAAGATACTGGGCAAGTTAGGACTTTTAAGAAAATTATAAGCCTTGAAATAAGTAAAACAGAACACTGAGTCATTTATCCCACAGTCAATTTACAATGATCGTTATTCTCATTTCAAATTCCCGACAAATAAAATCCTATTTCCAGTTCCCGTTTCTGTCTACTCCTCTTCATCTTATTGCCATAGCTGCTTTCATCCAAACCACTCTCACTTTGTTATTAATGCTCCCTCGCGATTTCCACTGTTGCTGTTCTTTCCCTGACAAATCTCCACAAAGCAGCTAGCATAAATCTTTACAACAGCCAGGCGCTGGTGGCGCACGCCTTTAATCCCAGCACTCTGGAGGCAGAGGCAGGTGGATCTCTGTGAGTTCGAGGCCAGCCTGGTCTACAGAGTGAGTTCCAGGACAACCTCCAAAACAATACAGGGAAATCTTGTCTCGAAAAACCAAAGAAATAAATAAATCTTTAAAACACAAGCCAGAAATAATTCCTGCACTCAAGTCCTGTAGTTTCTTCCCATTGTACTTAAGTTTCTACTTCAAATTCCTTTCCTTGGTCTTAAAGGTCATAATCTCAGTCATGTATTATAATGTCTATGGAGTTTATAAAATTATTCCACTTTGAACTCCAAAATATTTAAAGTATACCAAGCCAGTTGACTTTCTGCTGTTGTTTTTGTTAAGGATAAAGTCTTGGCAGGCTGATCTCTATGAGTTTAGGGCCAGCCTAGTCTACAGAATAAATACCAGGACAGGCTCCAAAGCTTCACATAGAAACCCTATCTCCAAAAAAAAAAACAAAAACAAAAACAAAAACAAAAGAATAAAATCTTGGGCTGGAGGGATGGCTCAGAGGTTAAGAGCACTGGCTTCTTTTCCAGAGGTCCTGAGTTCAATTCCCAGCAACCACATGGTGGTTCACAGCCAACCATAATGAGATCTGGTGTCCCTTCTGTCATGCAGGCATATATGCAGGGAGAACACTTTATACATAATAAATACTAAATAATAAAAAAATGTTTCAGGATAAAAAAAATAAAGTCTTGCTAGGGAGGTGGCACACACCTTTAGCTTCAGCATTCGGGAAGCAGAGACCGGCAGATCTCTGTGAGCTCAAGTCTACAGAGTGAGTTCCAGGGCAGCCAGGACTACACTGAGAAACCCTGTTTCAAAAAAAAAGGAGAAAAGAATAAAGTCTTATTTTTGTAGCCCAACTCATTTCAAACCTCCATTCTTAGTTGGACATGGTGGTGCATGTCTTTAACTCCAGTACTTGGGAATCAAAGGCAGGTACAAGCAGACCTCTGTGAGTTCAAGTCCAGCCTGATCTACATAGTGAGTTCTAGGCAGCCAGGGCTATCTATGTAGAGAGACCATGTCCCGAAACAAAACAAAGCATCAATTTCCATCCTCCTGCCTTAGCCTCCTAAGTGCTAAGATTTAAAAGAATGTGTCATCATGCCAAAGCAGGTGATTCCTAGGAACAATGAGAATTAAACAATGATTTCACTACCTACTTCTTCTGCCAACCATGCTTTTATTCAAGTATGCATACTGGCTAACTGGCCTTTTTGGCCCTTTTCTGTGTTATAAATCTACTGTGCCCTGGAGACTTTGTATCAACTACTCTTTCCTACCTGGGAAGCCCTTCCTCAGATCTTTCCATAGTCTTTGCCTCTTCCTGAAGTTCACGCAGCTCTAACACACACACACACACACACACACACACACACACACACATGTCTACAAATGTTTTGCTTGCATGCATGTACACTTGCGTGCCTGAGTGAGTGGTTGAAATAAACACGTGGTCCTATAGGAGAGCAGCCAGTAACCCTAACCACTGAGACATCTCTCCAGCCCTACATTCCTACCCCTTAAAACAGGACCTCACTGTATATCCCTGGCGGGTCTGGAACTCCCTATGTACCATAGGCTGGTGGCAAATTTACAGAGGTCACCTGTTTCTGACTCCCATGTTCTGACATATGCTACCATACCTGGCCAAATACAGTTTTCTTGGTGAGACCTTCTCAGGCCTCCATATGAAAACAGACCACTAGAAAGCACCTGACTTTATTTTTATCAAAGTACTTAAAAATGTTTTACATGTTACAGTTTTTTTTTCTTCAGGAAGACGTGTAAATAAGCAGAAATGTATTCAAGAAATACTTGTGGAACCCATGTAAAATGCTCCATGCCATTACATGAGATACTGAAGCAAGATTCTAAGTTGTGAACAGGTCTGGGCTACATATCAAACTCCTAAGTCAAAAAAAAGTTATTTGAGGCAAGGTCTCTCTATGTATTCCTGGCTGTCCTGGAACTGTTATGTAGATCAGACTGGCCTCAAACTCACAGAGATCCTCCTGCCTCTGCTTCTAGAGTGCTAGGAATAAAGGCATGCCTGCCCCTAAAATTTAGAACTAAAAAGGTCCCTGTCTATGAACAAATGTGTGAATGAGAAAGTATATTTGGAAACTAGGTGTCTCACTGTCAAACAGTGATCATCAAAACTTCCTTTCTGCTTTATGAACTAGTTCCTTCAGAAGACAGGGTACTAGCATCTCAGCACGCTTGTTCTATGAATGACAGCTCAGACTCACAGATGACCCCTAGCCCTTATAAGAACCACATGATCACAATCCCTTACCATTGTCTTCCCTCTAACTTTTCACCACAATTGTCAGCCAAATTTAAAATTGGATGATTTAAATGAAACTGAATTCAATTTTCTCACCAAGATTGTGGCAGACAGTTTTACAGAGAGAGAGAGAGAGAGAGGTGACTCATAAATGCAAAAGTGAAAGAAAGTAAAAGAAAAAGGATCCAGAGAGTCAACTATGGATGGGAAAGAGTTTTCGATCTTTCTATCCGAAGCTTGACTTTCTAAATGTGTACTGAGCCACTGATGTCCGAAGCCTGTAATCCTAACACTTAGGAGGTAGAGGCAGAAAATCAGCAGTTCAAGACCAGCCTTGGCTACATGACTCTGTCTCATAAACACAAAGGAAAGGGAAGAAAGACATGAGCATTGTATGGTTCTTAAGTGAACAAATATAAAATACCTTCAGAGTTCCATCAACCTAAGAAGTTTTAAGAGGAAATAATAAAAAAAAAAACCCAAGTAAATAACTGACCACCAAGACCACCCCCTAAAGTGCTAGTTGTCCGAGCTAGGGGTACTACTGAAACCTGGAAGTTGGGATATTACCTTTGGGATATCTCCTTTAATACCTGGAGGCAGCCGCAGGATCCAGAAGTTCCTGTTGCGGAGCAGATTCTCCAGGTTCTCCAGCCGCTGCTGCAGCAGCCCGTACTCCTGCAGCAGGGTCCCCAGCACGGCCCACTTGCCCTCCAGCTGGTTCCCAAGCTCAGTCGCTGTCTTTTCGCAGCTGGCTAGTTTCTTCTCTGCTGTCCCTGTCCTGCCTTCTAGGTGGAGGAGTCGCCGGCCGTGGACTTCCACCTTCCTCTCTAAGGACTGCACAGCAGCCACCACTGTCCACAGGGAGATGGCTGCGGTCTGCAGGTGTGCCTCGTTTGCTGCTGGAGGTGGAGGCAGAGGAAGGGGCTGCAGGGATGTAAGGCATTCCGAGTCCCAGTCAGAGGTCTACGTGCAGTGGAGAGACGGGGCAACACATTGAGAGTTAGAAGGAATCCTAACTCTAAACCACAAGAAGAAAAGGAGCTACTAAACTGTCCAGCTGATAGTAATCGAAACAGTTTCGGTATAGTTTTACAGTGCCCGTGTCAGCCTTGTGCTCTGAAGCCTGTTGGCATTGAAAGCCAAGGGAACTGTTTTGGTGGGTTCAATAATGAGTTGGGAGGAGACAGCAAATAAATAAACTGGCCCGTTTCTCTAATAAAAGGCTCAGACGTCCAGGCTGCTGCTGCCTCCTCTGGAAGAGGCGAATGTACACAAGAATTCTCACCAGGTTTCACTGCCCTCTGACAAATCTCTTAAGAATTTATACTAGCCCTGCCAATCACTCAGTTTATACACTACAACGATACCACTGGTAATAATTGGACACGCTGTGGATATTGAGTCTAGAGAGAATAGGACAACCGTTTTCAAATATTCCAGGGTTATAATATTGAAGGGAGAACAGAAAAATCCAAAGGACACACTAGAAGAATACATGGAAATTTTCAGGCTGGTAACAATGTTTCAATTAGATGTTTTCTTCCAAGAAAGTCACAGGTTATTTGTTCATTACTGAATGAACTTGGACACAGAGTATCATTAATGGAAGAAATCTGTACAGCTAATAGGAGGCTGGACTAGGCCTCCGCGAGGTCCAGTTCTCTGGACCCGACAGACCATTCTGGCCTCTTCCCTCCCCACTTCACGCCCTGTCACGTCCTCATTTCATCTTATCCCCACCGCGTTAATGGTAACTTTAGTCCTGTGATGATTCCATTGGCTCCTGGCCCACCACCCGTATATGGCTTTGCTTTCTTCCCTGCTTGGCCATTTCTGCCACTTTTCAATCCATTTCACTCATGTCTCTACTACCTCACTTCCTTGTCTGACTTCCTACTTTGAATGATTCACTTTCATTCACTTTTTTTTTGTTTTGTTTTTGCTTCTACAAGCAGTCTTGAGTGAGATCTTAAAACCACGTGAGATGCTGTCAGCATTCACCAATTTGTCAATGCTCAGTGCCTGGAGGTAGTATCTTCCACAAACTCTCACACTAATGTGCAAAAGAATCAACTGTAAGGCCGGGCGCTGGTGGCGCACGCCTTTAATCCCAGCACTCTGGAGGCAGAGGCAGGCGGATCTCTGTGAGTTCGAGGCCAGGCTGGACCGACAGCCTCCAAAACAATACAGAGAAACCCTGTCTCGTAAAAACCAAAAAAAAAAAAAAAAAAAAAAAAAAAGAATCAACTGTAAGAAGCCGGGCAATCAAGTCAGTGAGGTACCAAAGCAGAGAAAGGCACTTGCAGTCAAGCCTGATTATCTGAGATCAATTTCCTGGGACCCAAACAATGGAAAATGAGACTCGACTCCCCCCAATGTTATCTTCTGCACTGAGGAAACCAAGTCAGGAAGATTGTTGTGAGTTTGAATGCAGTCTGGGTTACCTAGTGAGTACCACCAGCACGGGCTACAATAGCAAGACTTTAATCCCAAGTCTCAATGCAAAAATAAAAATAAAAAACAAAAAGCATTGAAAACCTAGGTAAAATACATTTTTTTTCATTCAGTAAGTGTAAGGAAAAAAAAATGGAGATGGTGTGCTTTAAGCAAGCTCATGGGGGATGGATGCCGCATCTGCTGACCCAGGAAGTACACAGGGAGGACAAAGACTTGTCCACACTGTACCCTTACTCTCCAGAGACGACCATGGTGTCTTACTTTAAGAAAACAGCATTTGGGAGGCAGAGGCAGGCCAGCTTGGTCTACAAAGCAACACAGAGAAATACTGTCTCGAAAAACCAAAAAAAAAAAAAAAAAAAAAAAAAAAAACAGGGCTATACAGAGAAACCCTGTCTCTGAAAACAACAACAAAAGGAAACTGAAGTAATGAGACCTAGCTTTTTCTCCATACTTCCACCCCACAACAAACCTATCAGTAATAATACATGTGTTCTTTCTTCCTTCCAAGGATTCTGATCTTATTTAAAGCCAGTCCACTTGGACTCTGAATACCAACCCCTCTTGCCTTAAAAGGTACATTTAAAAAAACAAAACAAACAAACACTTAGTGTGGTGCACATGCCTTTGATCCCAGCACTTGCTGAGGCAGGAATACTTCTGTGAGCTTGGGGCCAGCCTGATCTATATGTTGGCCAGTTAAAGCCACACAGAGAGATTCTGTTTCAAATAGACTCAGTAGTAGTAACAGTAGTAGTAGCAGTAGTAAAAAATTGTCAGTGAAGTGCTCAATCACCGACGGGACATCCACATCACTGCCCGACCCCCCAAGGCTCAGAGACCATTGAGGAAGAAGGGGAACAAGATCCTAAGACCCACGGTTGGACTGGAGTGAGTCCGTGTCTTCTGGACAGGACAGGACGGCTGCTCTCGTGAGCTCCTGTCCGCTGTGGCTGCCTACATGTACAATCAAGCGAGTGGACATAATAGCACAGAAGGGGAAGAAGAGGGTCATGAGCCCCCACCCATAACTGGGGAGCTATCAACAACCCGCGGCATCTGGGGTAGGGAAAAGTCCATCTTTAGGGGTGTGGCCCCTGGTGGGTCAACGACATTTCCAGGGGATGGCCTGCACCGAGGAGTATATGAGAAGCAAAAACTGGACTCCATGGGTTATTTTATTTAAAAAAGAGACAAAAATTGGGAGACACTGGTAAGGGAAGCAGGAGCGAATCTGGGAGGATATATTTTAAGTCATTCAGGCTTGTTCTATGTATATCAGTGTCTCGTCTTCATGCATATGTGTGGCATCGTGTGCATGCCTAATGCCCTCAGGGGTCAGAAGAGGGCATCAGACGCTCTAGAACTTGAGTTACCGAGCGCTGTGAGCCACCACGTGAATGCCGGAGCTGAACTGCCGGAGCAACAAGTGCCCTTAACTACTGGGCCATCTCTCCAGCCCCTACAAATATTTCTTAAAATTACAATTAAAAAAATATCAGTATCTCCCAATTCTTCTTCATAAACCAGACTTGCCCAGGTCAGTCATCATAGCCACTGATACCGTGTGATCCGTGAGGACTTGAAATTTGGTCAGTTCAACCGAGATATGCTGAATATATATAAAACCCAGTGGTATGAAGACTTAGTATGAAAAGCTCTAACATCTCATTAATAATTTTGTAATATTGATTACTATTGAAATTTTGCATACGTTAAGTTAAATAATTCACATCACTGAAATTAATTTCCTACTTTTACTTTTTTTCCCCTTTCCTTCTTTTTTTAAGACACATAATCTGGTTATTTGGCCAAGGATATCCTAAAATTTCTGATCGTTCTCTCTCTCAGACTCCCAAATGTGAGCCACGCATGGTTTTACCTCCTAGAACATGACTAGTAGGGAATTAAAAGTATGTGCACAGCTTTCAGCAAACACCTACAGGATACACGATGGTCTCTACTGTGTTTCAAATTATTTCTGGCTCTGAAAACAAAACAAAAAAAAGTCCGGGAGCAAGGACGACATTCTCCCCTGTCCTATTCCCCCCAAACCACCGCTCCTCTGTTTCCTTCTCTTATTTCTTAACCATTTCTCAAGCCGGACCTGCTTTAAAAAAAAAAAAAAAAAAAGTCTCTCTGATCTGACCCGAAGGCTTCTTAGGTGGCAAACAACAAGCAAATAAATACACTTTCCCGGTCAGAACGCAGTGTTAAGCAACCGTTCCCCCTTTCCTTAATGGCTGTGTGCAAGGGACTGGCCCCTCCCGGGTGCCCTGGGGGCTCTGCCATCATCTATCTGGTGCCCGGCCGGGCCCCGCTGCAGGCCTGCAGCAAGCCGCTCAGCGCAGCGCGCGCGCGCACGCACGACCGCTAAGCCTGCGCTCTCTAGTCGGCCCTTCCGAGGTCCCCCCGCTCCCGCCCCGCAGGGCCTGCCTCGGCCTGCCCGGGGCTGGCGGGGCACGCGCGACTCTGCCCGCCGTCGTTCACGCAATCTGTCTGGGGGCAGCGGCGTGGCGGCTCCCGCCCTCGCCGCCGCGCAGGTGACCTGTCCCGCCGCACCTAAGCCCCGCAAGAATGTCTGGCGGATTTCGGAGAAGAAAAAAAAAAAAAAAAGAGGCGCCTCGAGCCCGCTTCCCCGTCCGGCGTCCGGCAGGCTAACGCGCAGGAGACGCACCGCCGCGGGTGAGCCAGAATCCCCGGATCCGGGTCCCCGTCCCCACCCCTCGCGGTGGCCCTGAGCCGCAAGACCCACGCGGGCGACCAGGCCCGCGGGCGTCCCCAGCCTCCTCGCTTCCCTCCCCGATGCCCGGGTGACAGAGGCGCCCCTTACCGGAGCGGCGGTCGCTTCAGCCATGACCCCTTCCTCCGCTGCCCGGTCCGGTCCCCGGGGGAGTCGCCGCCGCACGCAGGCCGGGCTGCTCTGGGCTCTCCGCGAGCGGCGAGAAGCGGGTCTCTCGCGTTGCTCTCACTGACAGAACTCGCGGGGCGGCGATCCGGCTTCCGGGAGCGCAGGGACGCGGGGGAGCTGAGGAGCAGCTGGCAGCCTCCGCCGCACCGGGCTGCAGCCACCTTTCCAGCCGGGCGCTTTGTGGACAGCGAGGACCGCAGGCGCTGCGCCGGGGCCGGCCTAGACGCGCCCCGCTCCTGTCAAGTCCTGCCGGGCCAGCGCGCCCCCTGGCGGCCCCAGGATCTGGCGCACCCTTCCAGGGGTCAGCTTCTGGGAAGAGTTTTGGGGAACGGGAACCTCCCCTCCACACCGACTTGGTTGGTTTTCTCATCCGCCCAGAAAACCCCGCAGATGCTAAGTAGTTTAAGGCGCCGGAGGCAGCGTCTGGGCTGGACGATAGCCCCATCTACTACCAGGGTAGAAATGAGTTAGGGTGGGGTGATGAGGTTGTATCATTCGTAGAAACTGCAAACGGGTGAAGAAAAATCACATTCCGCGTGGCTTGTACTGGCAACAAAGACCATTCTGTTTGGGTTACTGCTTCTCTTGGGCTTGGCTGAGAAGTGGAATTTTTATTAATGTTTGCTTATTTTTTAGTGTGTGTGTGTGTGTTTCCCTGTACTTGGGCGTCTGGTGCCCATGGAGGCCAGAAGAGGACGGAGGATAGCTTGTCCTTGGAGTTGCAGACAGTTGTGAACCATCATGTGGGTGCTGGGAACCAAACCCAGATCCTCCGCCGAGAAGTGAGCTTTTTGTGGTTATGTATCTGCTGGGTCTGGACTAAGGGACAAGCGAAGACAGAGTTGTGTGTTTAACAGACTGTGGGGTAGAAAGATAATCATACAACCGTAACATTCCATCATACCTCTCCTTTTAAACATGTATTTCAGCAAATGAATGCATTTAACAGCAGATAATTCCCCAAAGCGTGAGGATCACCCTGTTGGACCACTTCCACTGACAGCATACTGTGTTATTTCATGTCCATACAAGGTAAGTACCTTATATGTAATTTGAGCATGAACTGTGGCCAGATGGTACATAGCTGAGAGTTAAAAATCACCATTCTCCGAACCAGAACATCACCGTAACAGAATGAACTTCCAGAAGAAGATGAAGAAGACTGACCTCGGGGAAAATATTTAGTGGTTTTATTATTGAAAGACATAGTTTTAAAATTTGGACTTAAAAGGTAAGAACAAAACCTGGTATGGTGCTATTTGTCTAAAAGGGTAGATTATTGAACCTACTCTGAAAAGAAAAAAAGGGGGATACAGATATGATAGAATAAAAGGGTAGATTATGGAATCTGCTCTGAAATGAAAAAGAGGAGGCTATAGACATAAGACAAAAAGGTAGATTATTGAATCTACTCTAAAAAGGAAAAATGGAAGATATAACTATGACAAGACAAGAAGGTAGATTATTGGATCTACTTTTTAAAAAGCAACTACTAGTTTTAAATATTTTACATCGGATTGGACTTTTGTATATTCTATACAAATTTTGTATATTGATACAAAGTTGCAATTGATTTTGTTAGAACATGTTGTCCATCCTTTTCTAATCTTGTTCAAGGTATATAGTTCATTTAACAATGTAATGCAAATCTTTAGTTCTTTAAAGTTATTATTACCAACTGTGTAGGATAATAAGGAAATGCAGGTTAGTAATTAGTCACCTATTATAATTAAATTTGTAGTCATATTGGGTATATTTTCAAGGTTAAAAGAGATGTAATTTAGATAGAAGCGCATCCTCAAACACTTCAGAGAGCTATAGACTATGACATTTAAGATGTTTTAATAACAGATCCTTTTGGGTTTTTTTATGACAATGAGACATGCCTGCTCTTGGCAGCACCAATCTACTTCAGAGATGATGGGCATCAAAGAAACTCCCACATGGAGTTTACTTTCTTTGTGGCAAAGGTAAGCCACTGGGCAAGAAAGTGCCCTTGCCTCGACTGCTGATAGTTTGCTGTCCAGATTGGACAAGCAGGACACAAAAGAGAATCACTTCAACCCTTGCCAAGACAATGCAGAACCGTCCTTCAAAGCTCCTACATTATTATCCTGTTGAATAATCTAGGCTTATAGGCTGAAGATGGATGTCTCAACGTTGCAGAGGAACCTTGGGTGACTGTCCAGGCAGCCAGATGTTTTTGTCATTTCTCACATTTTTTTGAAAGTCTCTTGCTTGTGTGTTAATATCATTTCCTTCTCGGGTCTCTGAGGGAGTTGAAGACTGGATAGTTATAGTTTTCCTTGTTTACCAGATGCAGAAAGGAAACTCACTAAAGAGGTGTAAAGCATAAAAGCTGGAGAGACATAAAAAGATAATTTTGAGTCTATAATGCAAGTTAGAATAGAAAGTGAATTAGGTACAACACTTTTGGATTCACCAAGATAGGATAAATGTGTAGTATTTTCTCTGAATTTGTCAAATGCAAATGGACTAGACATTGCTGATATATTTATTGCATGTATATATTATATATAGTTATTGTACTTATCGTATATAGTTTTTCTTATATTAGTTATTGTTAGAATGGAAGCTTTTCCCGGCTCCTGGCATCCGTATACCCAAGGAGTCTGTGATGTTACGGTGGAAGTTCCACCCAAGCCCTCCTCCCCTGTGTCCCTCCAAACCCTGCTGCATCTCAGAAAGCCTGACAAGTGATGACCACCCCCCCCCAGGTTCTCAGGACCACTCCCACAGGGTAGTTAAGCTGTCTCCCAGAGAACAGACTCATGGTTTTTCCAGTTTCCCTTTCCTGTCTCCTTTCTGGGGCACTGGGAGGCCTTCTGGGAGCATTGTATCCATTAAATGTGGGCTTTTTTCTAATACGGTTTGATTTGGTCTGATTTGGATTGCTGCGTCAGTGGAGAGGCTTATCAGGGTGCAGAAATTTTTCAGTTATAACCTTCTTTTTTTATTTTAGACCAAAAAAAGGGGGGGGAATGTGATGATATTTTGTCTATAGTCTAACAAATAAAACTTGCCTGAAGATCAGAATACAAAGCTGGAAACACTAGTTAGCCATAAAGGTCAGAAAGTGGTGGCTCACACCATTAATACCAGCACCTGAGAGGCAGGGGCAGACGGATCTCTGTTAGTTCAAGGCCACCCTGGGCTACACAAGATTGAATCTGTCTAAAAGAGGTACAGAGCTCACTCACACAGAGGTGATCCCAGCACTTGGGATCCCAGCCTTTAATCCCAGCACTAGGGAGGTGGAGACAGGGATGATATGCCTGGGTGGAGAGAGGAATATAAGGCAGGAGGAGACAGGAGCTCGATGGGATCTGAGCCAGTCTGAAGTTTGATGGAGACAGATACAGTCTGAGGCCTGAGGATAGGATCGCCCTGTTAGTCTGAACATTGACAGAGGTTCTCTGATCTTCAGCACTAACCCCGATATCTGACTCTGAGTTTATATTATTAAGAACAATTAGAATTCCTGATCTCTTGTGAGTTTAAGTCTAGCCTGGCCTACATAGCAAGTTCCAAACCATCTAAAGTGACACAGTGGGACCCCGTCTAGCAGAAAAAAAGAGTAGCAATTTCCATGCTCTCTGGGCCCCTGTTAAATTGTCAGGTGTACCTGTGGACACTAAATGTGGACATTTGTATTACTAAATAAGATTCCATGTCTTTTTATTTATTTTTGGCTTTTGAGGTACATAACACAGGTAGTGGAGGATGACCTCAAACTCCTGATCCCCCTGCCTCCACATCCCAAAGCCTGACAGACGGCTCCCAAATAATGACATGGAGACTTCTTATTAACTATGAAAGCTTGGCCTTAGCTTAGGACTGTCTTAAACTCTTGTAACTTCTTAAATTAACCCATCCCATTCATCTGTGTTCTGTCACATACCACCCATCCTGCTTCCTCTGTCTCCCGTCTCTCTTGTGCCTGCGTTCATCTCCTCTTCCTCTCTCTCTCCCTGGAAGTCCCACCTAAACCTCCTGACTAAGCTATTGGCCGTTTGGCTTTTTGTTTATTATACCCATCACAGCAAACACATCTTCACACAGTGTACACATGTCCCACGACAGACGAGTGAGACACTGAGTTCCACCAACTAGCTCTGCCTGTTCGAAATGGGGATGCTGTCACCGAGCTCTTAGATGCTTCTTCCCCTAACAAGAATTGTTAAAGACTTCTCTCATATTTAATTATTTGTTTTAAATATTTTTTCAGGGAGCACTGGATCTGGAGAGATGGCTCAGCGGTAAAGAGCACTTGCAGGACTGTGATCCTGTCCCCAGAACTACATGGCAGTTGGCGGTCATCTGTAACTTTAGTTCTGGAGCACCTGGGTGTCCCGCGCTACCGTCTCGCCAGCAAGAACGACGCAGAACACTCGGATCCTTCTGCAGTAAAGCTTTAATGCATCTTGAGAGATAGATGATCAGCTTCTTAGAGGGAGACCCCAAGCTAAGAAACCCAGCCCCTTATATAAGCCTAGGAGCTCCGAGTGAGACGTGTAGAGCCGGGATTGGTGGTTTGCACATCACCCCAGATGACGCCACGGGAGAGGCACAGCTTAAACGGTTAACTCCAACTGACAGCAGATGTCAGCGCCATCTTCTAACGGTTAACTCCAACTGACAGCAGATGTCAGCACCATCTTCTAACGGCAATAGCGATAGCGAGGGCGGCTCCTCACACCTGGGGACCTCTTCTGGCCTCCGGCTCCTGCGCTCACACGATGCACAGAAATTTACAAAAGATCACACACATAAATTAAAAAAAAATAAATCTAAAAACAAGAGAATGGCTTGCTCGGTGGTTAACCGTGTTTCCTGCTTTTGCAGAGGACTTAAGTTCTGTTCCCAGCACCTACGTGGTACTAACAACCATCTGTAACTCCAATTCCAGAGGATCTGGTGTCCACTTCTGGCCTCTTCTCTCATTTCATACACATGTGTACAGACAAACAGGAAGGCAAAACACTTTTATACATAAAATTTTTAAAAATCTTTAAAAACAATCCATGACTATATGCTCACATTTTAACACGTAGTTGCAGCCTAAGGGTTGTCATCTCAGAAAGCAAAAATATGTGCTTACCCTTAGACCTCTAGTGATTGTGCTTGGTTCGTTTTTTTGTTTGTTTGTTTGTTTGTTCGTTTGTTTTGTAGTAGATAGAAACTTTAAACAGGCAGCTGTCCCATAGCTGGAGAATAGTTTGTTTTAACTGGTAAATTTATACTTTGTAATATTGCTTACCAAATAAAGGGAATAAAATAAAATATTGACTATAACAGTATACCAGTATCAATTAGAATGACTGTACACCTTGCCAAGACAAGGCAAGACAGAATTGTGGGTTTAAGCTCCACATTGTGTGCTAATTTGTAACATGAATTACTAAAAACCCAGAGATGGATATTGGGGTTCAAGCTGATGGTCAGGTAAGCAAAGCAGTCAGGCCACTAGCTCTTACCTCTCTACCTCAGACCAAAATGGGTGATCTGTCTCCAGTTATCCTCAGAGTACAATCTGGACTGCTATGCTCTCTTCAATGTGGCTGGAGAATAAATCTCTAAGACTGACTTTGCTTCTTCTTTTTTTATCTCTCAAACCCTTATATTAAGGGCATGTGATCCCAAGTGCTGAGAACACCTTTGGGTGAGCCGTTTCTCTTTTGGACTGGATCAGTTTCGTGTAGTCGAGTGTGTCCTTGAACTAACAGAGATCTGTCTGCCCGTCTCCTGAGTCCTGGGATTAAAGGTGCATGCCACCACTGCCTGGCTCTGTGGCTTGAGTCTAGCTTTTCTTTCTGTTCCCTCAGGCAAGCTTTAACAAATCATAAATAATATATATATCACATCAACTCCCTGGTTTTGATATTATAACATAATATATAGTGTGACCTCTGGAGGAAACTAGTTTCGGAAGTTTTTTGTTGTTGTTTTGTTTTGTTTTTTGAGACAAGGCTTCTCTGTGTAGCTATGTAGACCAGGTTGGCCTTGAACTCATAGAGATCCGCCTGCCTCTGCCTCCCGAGTCCTGGGGTTAAAGGTGTGCACCACTACCACCTATCCAGAAGATATTTTTTGTACAATTTTTGTAACTTCCTGTGGCTCTGTAGCTATTCCAAAATATTTTTTTTAAATTAACACAGCCAATAAATACTGGGCCCAGTCCTGAATGGCAATGGTTACTTTTCTAAATAAGGTATCTCCTTTTAGATGGGGTGTGTGTTCCAAGGCTTGCTAGTCAATCACTCTCTTTGCTTTATATGTGTGATTCTTTTGTGTTGCTCATTGTGTGGAACCATTTAAAGGTAGCTATAGATAGCATACATAAGCATAAGTATGTTTTCTTGTCTTCTACTTGTCTTAATTTTATGTGTTGAAGTGTTTTTGCTTGCATGTATGTACGTATACCATGGACATGCCAGGTACATTGTAAGCCAGAAAGTGGGGGGGGGTGTCTTAGAACTGGAGTTACATGTAGTTGTTAGATGCTACATGGGTGCTGGGAGCCAAGCCCAGATCCTCTGCAAGAACAGTGTCTTAGTTACTTTCTTATTGCTGTAATAAGACATCATGATCAAGGCAATTTATAGAAGAAAGAGTTTATTTGAAGCTTACGGTTTCAGAGGCTTGGAGTCCATGACCATCGTGGTAGCCGGCAGCCGGCAGGGGCGGCACTTGAACAGTGGCTGAGAACTCATATCTGAGTGTACAAAAAGAGTGGCCAGCATCTTTTGAGACCTCAAAGCCCACTCCCAGCGACAGATCTCCTTTAACAAGGCCATACCTCCTAATCCTTTCCCCAAAAAGATCCACCATCCAGGTCCCAAGTATTCAATCGTCTATGGGGCAATTATCATTCAAATTACCACAAGTAGCCAGGCAGTGGTAGCTCACACCTTTAATCGCAGAGTTGTAAGGGCTTTGAACTACTTTATTTACGTTTCCTGATTTGTAACCTGCCTTACCTGATTTGCTTGCATCCGTGTAGAAGGTAAGAACTCCAGAAATAGGCGTTTTTTTCTCACCATACGTGGAAGAATCCAAATCGTTTTCTTTATTAATTTGATTCTCTCTGTTTTACTAATCATTCCCAAAAAGTTACTGCAAGCCACTTGCCAATATTCATTATCCTTCCCTAAGGAGGAACAATGCCAGAAAAAAACACAAAAACAATCTCAAGTCCTAAAGCTGCACCACTCATTACTGAATGCTAAGGATCTCCAACCAAAGTGATTCATGTACAGTTCTGGATCTTATCTGCTTACTTCGGGTCGTGCCAGACAGCGTCTGGAAGGGACCGAGAAGCCTCGCGTCCGCCGCAGCCTGCTGGGATCAGAGACCCACAGTCCCGCAGTCCGAGGCCACCGTGGTAGTGGTCACCCGAAGGCTTGTGGGCTCCGGGGAAAGAAAGACCCCTACCCCGTCAATCGGCTGACATTTTGGAGGCAGAGGCAGGCTGATCTCTGTAAGTTTGAGACCAGCCTGATCAGCAACAGCTAGTTCCAGGACAGCCTCCAAAGCCTCAGAGAAACCCTGTCTCGAAAAACAAAACAAAAACAAACAAACAAAAAATTACTACAAGTAGCAACTGCTCTTAGCCGTCTCTCCATCCTCCAAAACTCTGATTTTGCTGTTGTTGTTTTTAGACAAGGTTTCACTATATATCCCTGCCTGACCTGGATCTCAGTATGTAGACCAGGTTGACTTGAAACTCATAGAGAACGACCAGCCTCTGCCTGCCAAGCGCTGGAATTAAAGGTGTGCGCCACTACACCTGGCTTTTACCTAGCATTTCTAGCTGTGGGAAAAGTGAAAGAGGAATGTGGTGACTGATAAGGAATTCAGAGCTGAGCCAGGCATGGTGGTGCACGCCTTTAAGCCCAGCACATGAAGGGCAGAGGCAGGTGGTTCTCAGTGAGTTTCAGGTCAACCTGGTCTACATACTGAGATCCAGTATAGCCAGACTATCCCGGGGAAGCGGGGAGAATTGCAACATAATCTAATTGCCCCTAGAAGTGTATTCCTTTTATTTCCTTAACTAATACTTTGATGCCTGCTCATGCTGCCAAAATAAGACTAATTTCCTACTCAAGGAATAGATTAAATAGAAATTTGGGGAAATTATACCTCAACACTTCTCAAACTCATTAGTTAATTCTTGTATTGTGAGGATCTTTTTTTTTTTTTTTTTTTTTTTTTTGCTTTTTCGAGACAAGGTTTCTCTGTGTTGCTTTGGAGGCTGTCCTGGAACTAGCTCTTGTAGACCAGGCTGGCCTCGAACTCACAGAGATCTGCCTGCCTCTGCCTCCCGAGTGCTGGGATTAAAGGCATGCGCCACCAACGCCCAGCTGTGAAGGCTCTTTTTACTGATAAAAATTAATAAGTAATTCCAGTCTAACCTGAAGGCCATTCCTGTTTGGGGAGTTATACTTCCTTTTATCAGTGGTATTAACAGCAGCCAACCACTTGAAATCAGAGAGAAAAGAATTCTTAGCAGAAGGAAGAAACAATGCAAATGTGTGAAAATAATTTTAAGGAGCTGGAGGCATAGCTCAGTGGCTAAGAGCACCTACATTGGCCGGGCATTGGTGGCGCACGCCTTTGTTCCTAGCACTCGGGAGGCAGAAGCAGGCGGATCTCTGTGAGTTCAGAGGCCAGCCTGGTCTACAGAGTGAGTTCCAGGACAGCCTCCAAAACAATACAAAGAAACCCTGTCTCGGGGGAAAAAAAAAGAGCACCCACATTAGTCAGTTGCCTGTAACTCCAGATGATCTGATATCTCTCTGACCTCTTCCTACATATATGTGTGAGTACATGCCCATGTGTGCACGCGTATATGCACATGTGCACACATGCATACACACACACACACACACACACTGATTTAAAAAGAGAATGGTATTGAATGGTATTTGATAAGCTTTTTTTCTGGGGGCACTTCTTGAAGCTATAGCTTGCGAACCTAGATGGAGCAATGGAGAATGCTATCGTTAGGCAGAGACCAAGGGTACTGCAACAAAACAAAAGTGGCAGTTAGGCCCTCTGAGGATGACCTGTTGGCTTTGAAAAGCAGAGGTGACTCATCACACTGTGGTAAGATGACCTTAAGATGACGAATCATCGGGTTTTCCCAGTCTTGTTTCCTGGATCTTTCTTTCTGAACAGTTGGTTAGAATTAGCAAGAATCATGTTGCTGGGTTGGTTTGTTTTGTTTTCTGGAGATAGAGCCTCACCGTGTATCCCTGGCTAGTCTGGAACTCTCTGTGTAGATCAGGCTGGCATCCAGCTCACAGAGATATATGTGACTCTGCCACAGAAGTTCTAGGATTAAAGGGATATGCCAACACAGCTGACAAAAAATTACTATTTTAATAAGACCTGGGTTTGATCCCCAGAACTCACATAAAAATGCAGACATGACAGCAATTCAGAACTCATGTAAAAATGCGAGGTGTGGTGTGACAGGCAGACTTGTCCTCCAGCCTCCATGCACATCCATACAGATTTATTTATTTATTTATTGAGGTGGAGTCTTACTACACTGTCTTGCCAGCCTGGAACTCATAGGTAGCCCAGGCTGGCCTCAAACTTACAGAGATAAGCCTGCCTCTGCCTCCCAAGTGCTGGGATCAAAGGTTTACACCACCATGCCCAATGTCCCCCCCCTCCCACCTCATTAAAAAAAAGGATAAGGGGCTGCTGAAGTATTTATCTAATTATTCTTTTGTCAATAAAAACTCAGGAAAAGGAGTCATGGCTCAGGCCTTTAATCCTAGCACTCAGGATGCAGAGGCGGGTGGATCTTAGTTCGAGGTCAGACTGGACTATGGAGTGAGTTCCAAGATAGCTAGGGCTACACAGAGAAACCCTGTCTCAAAAGAGAAAGAAAAGAAAAGAAAAGTTTTAAAGAGTTAAAATAGAACCAAAGGATTATGAGATTAGTGGCAATAATCCCATGATTTTGGTTTTTATTTTGTCCCATACCAGGTTGGCTTTTCTTATATGAGACAGAGATTCTGTATTTTCCTTTAACAAGTATGCTTGGGTTTAGAGAAGGCAAGAGCCATGTTCCAACTCCAAAGCCAGCTTTAATTTTTAATTGAATTGGGACTACAACAAGGCCATTTGTCTTATATGTCTGTAGAGAATGGCAGAAACATTTGGGAAGGTTTATGAAATTTTAACCTGTTAGAAATATGCTATGCCATTAGGCCAGTTTATTCATTTTTGGGGTACATTTTTCTGGATGTCTCATTTGTTCAGTGGTCTTTAGATTATCCTGGGAAGACAAAAACAAAACCCTGCCCCAGCCTTAACTTTGTGGAGTTTCTCTTTTTGGCAAGTTATATATGATCAAATGAAAGGCATTTGTTAGTCTTATAAGTTAGTTTAGACTGAATGGCCACACTGTTTGGTCAGCTATTGCCTCTCATAATCAAAAAGTCTCACCTGCTTGAATCTAATCTTTATCAAATTTGATGGTATCCATAACTTTTCTTCTCCTGTAGAAACAAAAGTCAAACCATTCCCCAACATAACACATATCCTGGTTTCCATTCTGAATTCGACACATCATTAAACTATTAGTTTAATTCAGCAGTTTTTTTTTTACTATCCAATGTCTCTCTGCAGGTGTTGTTCCTATCTCATTAACATTTAAAAAATTTAAAGTTAGGTGTTGCTCCAGCCATCCCCCATGGTAGAGGGATGAAGGGTCCGAGCTAATGGGTTTAGCTCATTAAACAACTACAATAAAACACTCTTTCTTTTGCATTGAAAAAGAATTAAAGTTAATAAAGCATTGTGTAATCAATCTATCTCCGAGGGTCTCTATTACCCCTTTCATTTATTTATCTTTTAAAGTGTGATTAGATATTTTTATAACTGCTTGTCCTGTAGCATTGTGTGGTATACCTGTGATATGGTATACCTATAACACGCTTTATGCTGTAATATGTAAAACACTGTTTCATTTTACTAGAGATGTTTGCTGGAGCATTGTCAGTCTTAATTTGTTCATGTATTCTCATGATGGTCATAAGCAGTTGCCCATTCAAATCCTGAATATGTATCTATGGTATGGTGGACAGTTGCCTCATGATCTCATGCCCAGAGTTGATGAAGAGTTTATCTAATTATTCCTTTATCAATTAAAAACTCAGACATCAGATATTGGGGTAAGAACTTGATTGATCAGAGAAGTGGTGGAGAAGCGGCCAGTGACCTCCTCTCTCTCTCTCTCTCTCTCTCTCTCTCTCTCTCTCTCTCTCTCTCTCTCTCTCTCTCTCTCTCTCTCTCTCTCTCTCTCTCTATCTCTCTCGCCTCCTTAGATTCCAAAGGGCTGAGCCTCTTTCTAAGCCCCTCCCTACTACTTCCTTGTTTCTCTATATGTCCTGGGTCCTCCAAAACCCCTATGGCTAATCCACTCTCTGTGGTGATATTTTGTTTATCATCTAACAAGATCAGATTGCAATGCTAGCCACACGAGCTAGCCATAGAAGATGGGTAGTCACATAAATTTCTGTGAGTTCAAGGTCCCCTCCGGGGCCTTGTGAGAGTGAATCAGTCTAAAAGAGTTCACACCTTTACTCCCGGCACTAGAGAGACCGTAAGGAACGCCGTGTGTTCGGTGGAGTCTGAGGATTTGTATGAGTCTGAGGTAGATAGAGGTAAGAGCTAGTGGCTGGCTGCTTTGCTTATCTGGTCTTCAACTTGAGCCCCAATATCTATCTCTGGGTTTTTATTATTCGTGTTACAGCTCTCTGACTCAAGGTAAACTTTATTGCAAGTCTCAAGATTGTCAGAGCGCAACCAAAATATCCCAAAACAGATTGCAAAAATGGCTCGGCTGTTAAGAGTGCTTGCAGAGGACCTGGGTTGGATTCCCAGCATCCATGTGGGATGTCATTTATATCCCATGTCATTTACACCCTTTTCTGTCCTCTGAGAGGTACTAGGCACATGGTGCATAGACATACATGCAGCCAAAACACTCAGATACATAAAATAAATCTCTCCTTAAAAGGGAGAGGGTATTGGACGTAGTGGTGCTCGTATTTAATCCCTGCACTCTGGAGGCATGTGAATCTCTGTGAATTGGAGGCCAGCCTAGTTTACATAGTGAGTTCCAGGGCGGCAGGAGCTATGTAGAGAGACCCTGTCTCAAAAGAGGGAGGGGAACATGGTGGTGCCTGCCTTCAATTCCAGCACTCAGGAGGCAGAGGCGGCAGGATCTCTGTGAGTTGAGGCCAGCCTGGTCTACAAGCATGTTTCAGGATCACCAGTAGTATATAGAGAGACTTTATCTCAGCCAATCAATCAGTCAGTCAGCCAGCCAGCCAGCCAGTGAGATGACTCAGCTGGTGTTTTGCTTACACTTATGCTCACCAAAAGAGAACATTGGGTCCCATGGTGAACTACAATTACATATGGTTTTGAGCCACCATGTGGGCTCTGGAAATTGAACTCAGGACCTCTGGAAGAGTAGCTACCTTAACCACTGAGCCATCTCTTCAGCCCTCTGAACTGAGTTCAAAGATTAAAAGAACCCTTTATACTTAGAAAACAGGGAAACAGGTGAGATAAAATGTTGCACACCTGTAATCCCAGCATTTGAGAGGTAGAGACAGATTAGGAGTTCAAGGGCACCCTCTGCCACAAAGTGACTTCGAATCAAGCCTCACCTAAATGAGATACTGTCTCAAAAAAGGTTAGGGCTCTGGAGAGAAGACTCAGTGGTTTTGATTCTCAGCACTTACATAGCAGTTCAGGTCTGGGTGTAACTCCAGTCCAGGGATCCATTGCCCTCTTCTGGCCTTTACAGACATGTACAGACATGCTTGTAAACAGTAAACAACCATATACATAAAATCTTTAAAGAAAAACAAACAAGAAACCAAAGTAAAAACAGACTGTTTGGCATGGTGGCCCATGCCTTTCATTACAGCACGGTAAGGTGGGTCTCTAAATTTAAGGCCACCCTGAAATTCATATTGATTTCCAAGAAGACAGTCAGAGCTACATAGTGAGATCCTATCTCAAGGGGATGGGAGAGGTCAGTTTTTACTACACATTAAAATTATTTGTGTTATTTTGTTAGGCAGGGTGGGTGTTGGGGGCTGGGTGACAACTTTGCAGAATTGTTTCTTTTTCCCTCTCTTAATCTCTACATGAATCCCTAGGGTCAATCTGAGGCTGTCAGGCTTCGGCAGCCGGTGTTCTGCCTACTGAGTCAATTGGCTGGATCCCATGTACGCTGTTTCTAAAACAAACCACTCAAATAGCAACACGTATGTGTATTACATGCCACTGTTCTGTGCCAAGCAGGTACATGCGCACACTGGCATAACTATTCAGGGCTATTTTATTTCTCTGTCTACTGGCTCGAAGCTGCACACTTTTTCTCTATGGTACTTTAGCCAGATACCTACCTCACCAGGAAATGGTTTGAAGTTAATCGTGGGGGGGGGGGAGGAGTGGATGCCAGCTGTCTTCCGTTCATTCTCCCTTTCACACGTTTCTGTCAATTTCTTACTCTCTCGCTGTGTTGCCATTTCTCCCGTGTCCCCTTTTCTACGTGCTTCCCCATCTCTTTGTCTGTTATCTTTAGAACCTAAGGCTTAGATGTGGTAGGTTCTCTGTTTTCACTCCGAGTGTCCGCCTGTCAACCTACAGCAGGAGCCTGATGCCTGACTGGCCAGCTTCGTTTACTAAAGCTTCTCTCGTCAAGGGAGGGAACTCCACCCATGCTCATGGACAGCATTTGTGGAAAAACACGCACCTCCGGCCCTGACCAGGTATACCTAACCCCTTTTCTCTTGTGTCAACCTGTTCCCGAGTCGGGGAGGCCCTATTCCCCAGCCACTTCCTTGCCCGTCTTAGTCTCCCCGTGTCAATTCCTGGGCCCATTTCAAAGATGGACCTTGTAGGGTCCCTGTCTTTGTCTCAAACCCACTCTGGAGGTCTCGGCCTCCCCTCCCCTCCCTTCTCTCCTGCTCCATCTTTGCAGCTGCAGAGAAAAGTGGGCTGTGGCCACGAGAGGCTCGGGGCGGGGGTGGGGTGGGGTGGGGTAGGGTGGGGCGGGGGTGGCTGACCAAAGCCGCTCCTCCTGCCCGCAGGGGGCGCTGTGGGGGCGCAGCGGGGGCGCAGCGACCGCTGCGTTGCATCCGCGCTGGGGTTGGCTCTGGGTCTGGGGCGAGTCGGGTTGGTGGCCTGGGCTCGGGGAGAAGCAGGAGGGGCCGCTTCGTCGCCGGGGAGCGTGGGCGTTGCCAAGGCCCAGGTTAGGCGTGTCCGCGCTGGCCATGGCCCGACCTGCTCCGGTAAGGGCCCCCAGCGCTGACCGGGCTCAGGGCGGGGGCAGGGGCGGGGCCGCGGGGCGTGGGGACCCCCAACAAAGCCGGGTCCGGCAGCCGCTTCGCAGCCGCCTCTCAGCAGCTGAGCGAACAAAACGCCTCCGGGGTTTGGGTCTCCGCAGGTTTGCGGTGGTGTCCTGCGCGCTCACGGCGTCGGCATTTAGCCCGCAGACTGTGGCGTTCCCTGCGCTCACGTTGAGTGTGTGAGGAAGAGGGACCTCGCGCCAGGAGGGTAGGAAAGGGGCAGGGAAATCTGCAAGGAGCTCCCGCTGTTTGATTTGTTTCGTGTTTTGTTGACATCAGGGTGTAGAGGGAATGACTTGTTTTGTTTTGATTTTTAATTGTGCTGTCCTAACTGCTCTATTAGGCATTCATGGTTATGTTAAGGCGGAGATAACTAATTTCAAAACACTGTGCTTTCTTCATGAATGTACAGTTTTTTTTTTTCTTCAGGGTTACGTGTATACAAAGGATGGGCAGCACGTTTATGAGTAGACTTTTGGTAAGTGGCGAATGCCCATTCCTGTAGATGGAAAAATAAGCAATAAGAGATATTCTTCCATAAATCCTTTTCACTTTCATGAAACGACGGTTGTGAATTTATTAAAATAGATAAAAAGGCTCAGTTGCAAAAGTACAATAGTTTCTCCTAATCCACAGGGTATGTTCTCTAACCTCCTCCCGCCCCCCCGTGGAAGCCTAAAATGAAATTACAGTTGGAGCTCTAAGGTGATACTCGACTCTTAACCAAGCACCTACCGTAGTACACTATTGCTTGGAACTCTTGCACTTTAAATTATGACGGCAAAACGGGCATGGATTTTTTGTTGTTGCTACCATCATCACAATTTCACAGGTTGAAGGTTCATTCTTGCTGCAAATTTTAGCGATTTCAGCATAGAACTTTTTTTTGTTTGTTTTGTTTTGGTTTGGTTTTGGTTTTTACGAGACAGGGTTTCTCTGTATTGTTTTCGAGGCTGTCGGTCCAGCCCAGCCTCTAACTCACAGAGATCCACCTGCCTCTGCCTCCCGAGTGCTGGGATTAAAGGCGTGTGCCACCACCGTCCGGCAGAAATTTTTTTAGAGTGGAAAAACGGGAAACTTTACTCCTGAAGGAAACACTTTGAAGCTGGACATGGCATTGGGGAGTCAGAAGCAGGAGGATTGCTGTAAGATTCGGGCCAGTGAGACTTGGGGCGTGAGACCTTGTCCCAAAAACCAAAACAAAGTACAACTTTACAGCTTTCCTTTGACATTTTTATCAGAATTGCCGCAAATACCTCCTCTTTCACTTTGGTGGCATTAAGAAAAGTAAGGGTGTGTGAACACATATTTTGATATAGAAAAGGAGTGGATATATATATATATATACATATATATATATATATATATTGTGGGGGAACTGGGCTGTGTTTTTTAGCTGAAAATCTCTAGATGCCAGTTAGCACACCTCCTGGAATTGTTACAATCAAAATTGTCTCCAGGCATTGCCTGTGTCCCTTGGAGGGCAAATTGCTCCAAATGAGCTCTGTTAACCTAGTGTTTCTCACAGAGGAAACTGCACATAAGTAGATAGGAAATTTTCTTTTGTTTTTCCTTAATACACCAGCCATGTTAGGACAAACTGGTGGGTTTGTTTTTGCTTTTGTATTTTGAGACAGGGTCTCTCTACATAGCCTTGGCTGTCCTGGAACTCACTCTGTAGATCAGGTAGGCCTGGACCCCAGAGCTTCCTGCCTCCAGAGTGCTAGGATTAAAGACATTCGTTACTATACCTTACCTGGCACAAAGTTGTTGTTTTAAAATAAATGTTGCTGGGCGTTGTTGACGCACACCTTAATCCCAGCACTTGGGAGGCAGGAGGATCTCTGTGAGTTTGAGGCCAGCGTGTTCTCCAGAACGAGTTCCAGGACAGGCTCCAAAGCAATACAGAGAAACTGTGTCTCAAGAAAACAAAAACAATAAAAATAAGTAAATGTTATAACACAAGTTACTTGCATACTTAAAATATTGGGTTTCACCAGGGTGATGGTGGTGCACACCTTTAATCCCAGCACTCAGGAGGCAAAGACAGGCAGGTCTCTGTGAGTTCGAGACCAGCCTGGTCTAGTTCCAGGATAGTCTCCAAAGCCACAGAGAAACCCTGTCTTGAAAAGCCAAAATCCAAACCAAAACAACCAAAATATTGTGATTTACCAGGTGGTGGTGGTGGTGGTGGTGGTGATGACTGCGGCGGTGGCGGCGCACGCCTTTGATCCCAGTACTTGGGAGGCAGAGGCAGACAGATCTCTGTGATTTCAAGGCCATTCTGGTCTGTTGAGCCAGTTCCAGGACATCCAGGGCTAGAGAAACCCTGCCTTTAAAAAAAATTGAAATAATAAATACTTTAATAGTCATAGAAAACAAATACATGCCAATAACAAATGAAGTTAAACTAAGTTTAAAAAATCAGTAAGGTGTAGTAGGGTTATAGTCATATAGGAAGAGTATTTTCAACTAAAAACATATAATTTGCATAGTTCTAATTATGAACTTCAGCATCAGTTTTCCTAGTCAACCATGATAAACACAAATACTAAACAATTTTGAACTAGGGATATCACTCAAAGGTAAAGAAGTTGCCTAGCATGTGCAAGGTCCTGGGTTCGGTCTCTCTCTCTCTCTCTCTCTCTCTCTCTCTCTCTCTCTCTCTCTCTCTCTCTTTCTCTCTCTCTCTATGTCTCTCTCTCTGTCTCTGTGTGTGTCTCTCTCTCTGTCTTTCTGTATGTCTCTCTCTCTCACACACACACTCTTTAAAATTCAGGTTGTTTATACCCTTTAACTTAGAAACACTTTAAGTTTTATTCTACGAAAGTAAATACATAAAATTTACAGAAAGTAACAGTGCATGTTATGGCCCCTTAATGGGCTCTATCTTCCCTGTGGAATATGATGTAATCATGCAATTTACCCCAATGTGAGTTTACTTCCTTGTATTGATCTGAAAAAAAAATGGCCATGACACGTTAAGCGAATGAGGTTTCGCACTGATTTGGCTTCATGTTTGTGAAGAACATGCCATCCCACACACGCAAATATATAGTTTGAAGGCACATCCAAGGTGGATACAGTGGTGGTGGCTGAGCATAGATTAGGGAAACAAATACTTTTGTTTATTTATGTAATTAATTTTTTTTAGTTTATGTACGTGGGCCTTTTGCCTACGTGTCTGTGCACCATGTGTGTGCAGAGGAAGGCATTAGGTTCCCTGGGACTGGAGTTATGGAGGGTTGTGAGCTACCGTGTGGGAGCTGGGAATGGAACCTGGACCCTCAGGGACAGCATTCAGTGCTCTTGACTGCTGAGCCATCTCTCCAGTCCACAAACCACTTTACCGGAAACCATGGTCTCACTGTGTAGTCCTGGCTGTCCTGGAATTCGCTCTATAAGCTGGCCTCATACTCACAGGGATCCACCTACCTGCCTCTGCAAATCACTTTTGTGGAAGAGACTGAACTGGAGTTACTTTGTAGCAATCATGACTGTGTCCGTACAATTTCTTTCACTTCAGCTCCCGCTGACTTTTGAAGATGTGGCCGTTTATTTCTCTGAGCAAGAGTGGCAGTATTTGGAAGCGTGGCAGAAGGAACTTTACAAGCAAGTCATGAGAGCCAATTATGAGACTCTTGTCTCTCTAGGTAAGGAGCTTTCAACTCCTGGGGTGAGACTTGCAACTGGATCTTTTTTGAGAGCCCCTCGGTCACTTGATACTCCAGTTAGGTAGCAAGATTGCTTAGGTACTAACTCAGAAAGGCCTTTTATCTCTTTGTGGTTGTTGTTAATAATAAGGTGCACATTACCCTTCTTCACTCAGGGGTGGAGACGTTACAGGACAGTATGTAAGAGAACATGTGATGTCACACAGTCAGAGGTTTCCTATTAAAGTTTACTCTGAAATTGCCTCGTTTTCTACCAGGAAGCACACCTGCCTCGTGCCCATAAAAGTACCTGTGTGCCTTAATGTAGAAATTGCAGCTTTATAGTGGGGTTAAAGACTGCAAGAATCTAATGGTCTTCCATGTTGAGTAGTCATGAAGTCAGAAAGAGTGCATACTCTAGGTAGGATAATGGATGGGTTTTTTTTCCCTTTGGTTCTCTCCTCCTCCTCCTCCTCCTCCTCCTCCTCCTCCTCCTCCTCCTCTTCCTCACACTCACCCCACCTCTTCCTGTATGTGATCCTGGTGATAGCATCCAGGTCTTTGCCTGTGCTAGGCAAGGGCTTTACCACTGAATTAAACTTACATCTCCTTTATAGTTCTTGTTTTTTGGATTTTTCTTGCTTTTTTTATAGGTTTTTGTTTTGTTTTGTTTTGAGACAAGGTCTCACTGTATAGCTGAGGTTGGCTTGGAACTCACTACATAGACCAACCTGGCCTCCAACTCACAGAGATCTATTTGATTTGAGTTCTGGGATGAAAGGTGTGTAGCTGCCAGTGTGGTGGGATTTGCTGAAGAGGCAAAGGCAGGAGGATTATAAATTCAAGGCTAGCCTGGGCTACACATTCACACTTTTTTAATCCCAGAACTTGGGAGCCAGAGGCATGCGAATCCCTGTGAATTTGAGGCCATCCTGGTCTATGTGAATTCCAGGATATAATGGACTAGAAAGAGATGCTGGAGAAAAAAAAACTGTGAACCACATGCCTGGCTAGTTTTTCCCATTTATCAAATGAATTTTTTAGTGAGTCTGGAGCTGGAGAGATGACACTCAGTAGGTCAGCAGGGAAAGCACTTGCCTCGGCGGCGGCATGGAAATCTGAATTTGCATCCTCAGAACCCACATTAAAAGATGGGTTCGGTGGCACGTGCCTGTTCATAATCCCATCCATTGGCCAGGTTGGAGGTCAAGACAGGTGGATCCCTAGAAGACTGAAGGCCATCCACCCTGACCTACATGGCAAAAAGTTTCAGGCTAGTGACAGATCCTGTCTCAAAATTTAAAAGGTGGAATGTAGCAGGTCTTTCTTTGGACTGCCAGCTCCCAAATGATGACCCAGAGACTTTTCATTAATTATGAAAACTTAGCCTCAGCTTAAGCGTGTTCTCAAGTAGCTCTTAAAACTTAAATTAGAGCCGGGTGTTGGTGGCGCTGCACTCGGGAGGCAGAGGCAGGCGGATCTCTGTGAGTTCGAGGCCAGCCTGGTCTACAAGAGCGAGGTCCAGGACAGCCTCCAAAACAATACCAAGAAATCCTGTCTCGAAAAAACAAACAAACAAACAAAAAACCTTAAATTAGCCCCACTTACATTAATCTACATTCTGCTTCATGGCTCATTCCTCAGTACGAGATTTCCTCTGAGTTCGGTTGATGAATTTCCTGCCTCAGGCTCTTTCCCAGAATTCCTACCTCTGCCCGGAAGTCCCACCTATCCTCTCCTGCCCAGCTATTGGTCCTTATGAAACCAATCAGAAGATGCTTTATGTGAGTGAGGAAGGGCAGAGACACACCTTCACAGAGTTTACAAAAAAAAAGATTATCCCAACAGTGGAAGGTGCCCTAAAAACCAATACAACGCAACTTTGTCCCTTGACTTCCGCGCGCGCCCCCAGCCCCCTACGTACATAAAATCATGCATAAAAATCAGCCTGTTGCATCCTAAAAACCAATATGCAACTTTGCCCCTTGACTTCCACACTCCCCAGCCCCCTACGTACATAAAACCATGCATAAAAATCAGCCTGTTCAATAGGAGTCAAGGGCAATGGCGGAGAAGCCCACAGAATCAGCCGACCCAAGCTGTTAACTAGGGAACCAGCAGCATAGGGCTGAACTAGGACCTCTGAATACAGGTGACAGTGGTGCTGGGCTTGGGCAGTGTCAGAGGCAACTGGCAGTGGGACCAAGGTCTAGCTGCAGTGTATAAACTGACTTTGTAGAACCTATCCTCTGTGGAGAGATACCTTGCTCAGCCTAGACAGACAGGTAGACGGTCCTAGGGAGGCCTCACCCTCTCCCGGGGATCAGAAGGGGGGTGGGAAGAACGTGAGGAGAGGTGGGAGGGGGGAGCCGGGATTGGAATGTGTAAAATAGATTAAAAAGATTAAAAACTGAAAAAAAAATTAGCCTGTCCAGAGAAGCATACAATACAAAAGATGAAAGGCTCCTGTTTGGGTTTTGTTTTTAATTTATGTGTACAAGTGTTTTTGCTGTCCCTGGAACTGGAATTACAGGTGGTTGTGAACCACTGTGTAGGTACTAGAAATTGAACTGTTGTCCTCTGCAAGAGCAGCCGGTGCCCAAGACATTGCTCTCGCCCCAGAGCAGGGACTTTTTAAACCATTTCTGGTTTCATTGGTAAAGCAGTTACTTTGCACTAAATATGGTAACACTCGTTTCTTGCTTTGCTAAGTTTAATAACTTAAGTAGTTGATCAATTAATTTGAAAAAATTGAAATATTGCCTTACTTATGCCATCCCTCTTTTATTTTTCGCCTTCCCAGTGTTTGATAGGTTTTTGATGTGTGTCTATTGGGTAGTTTTATAATTTATAATAATGTATTTAAATGTCGAGACTATATCCTATTAACTTTTTTGCTCAGGATAATTTTAATTTTATTATTATTATTATTCTATGTGTATAAATGTTTTGTCTGCATGTATATCTGTGTACACATGCATATGTTGCACACGGAGGTAAGAAAAGGGTGTTTGATTCCCCTAGAATGGGAATTACAGATGGTTATGGGTTCCCATGTCGGTACTGAGACCTGAACCCTGGTTCTCTGAAAGAGCAGCAAGTACTCGTAACCTCTGAACCATCTCTCCAGTCTGTAGATTAATTTTAAAAGGATTTGCAGAGCTTACGTTTAATTTATTATTTTTTTTCTTTTTCCCCTTTTATTGAAGATTTTTGTTTGTTTTAGCTTTTGTTTTGTTTTCAGACGGGATCTCTCTGTGTAGCTCTGGTTGTCCTGGAACTTGCTCTATAAACCAGGGCTGGTCTTGAACTCACAGAGATCCGCCTACCCCTGATTGTCAGATTTTTTAAAAAAATATTTTATTTATTTATTGTGTATACAGCCTTCTGCCTGCATGCCAGCAGAGGGCACCAGATCTCATTCAAGGTGGTTGTGAGCCACCATGTGGTTGCCGGGAATTGAACTCAGGACCTCTTAACCGCTGAGCCATCTCTCCAGCCCCCAGATTCTTTTTTTTAAATGTACATGCTGATTATAGTTTCCCTCCCTCCACTCCTCCCAGTTCCTCCCACACACCCTCCTATCTGGAATAATGTCCTTTATGTCTTTCATTAAAAAACAAACAAAACAGTCTTCTAAGGGATAATAATAAAATATACATGTTCTATTATCATGTAACTCAGTGTTTAAAGATGAGCTAATTCCTTTGACATTCTCATCCATGTCTCCTGCTTATTCTTGACAGCCATATATATTCTCATAATCTAAAGTTTCTGAAACATATTCTTTCATCATAGTTAAGTTTTCTAGGTTCTATCTATGGATTATTCCTAAAACTTGTAACCCATGGCATTATTTTATTTTACACAAGAACCAGTTAAAGCAATTGAACTGGTAGAGGAAAAAAAAATGTAATCTATACTGCCAGCCCTGGGCCATCCCCAAATGTGCCTCCAAAGCACCAAGTTCAATGGATTGTTTTTATCATACTCCTCGGTTATTAAGTCATGTTTCATCTTAACTTTGCTGTCAGGCAGTGACCCGCTATGATTTTTTTAATTGCTTCCTCCTTTACTCATACTTTTATTTACTCCCTTAGATCATGCCTCTGCCAGTTTGCTTCAAAATAATATAGATATTCAAAACAGTTCCACTCAAAATCCAAGGGTGACTTCTCATGGTCTATAAGCTGATTATGAGAAGCACAGAACAAAGGGCCAAGAGCAACCAAGGCAGTGCTTTCGTTTATTTTACAAAATGGGCGGTGATAAAATAGATACCAAGCTATCTGGCAGGAACCGCATGGCCAGCACATGCTTCAGCTGAGGTGCTGAAGCTTCACGCCCACCTGGAAGAGCAAGTTGAGGGCTTGTGGAAAAGTTGACACGCAGCTCACTTCAGTGGATATCAGCACCTATGATATCCCTTTTTTTTTAAACTTTATGTGTTCATGAATACGCTGCCTCGCGAGCTGTAGACAGTTGTGAGCTGCTGTTTGGGTGCTGGGAATTGAACCCAGGTCTTCTGGAAGAGCAGATCTCTGTGAATTTGAGGCCGGCCTGAACTACCTAGTGAGACATCATCATCATCATCATCTCGATCATCATAAAGCAACTGCCCTTTTGTTTTTGAATTAAATAAAGTATCATTAGATATGTGCAGACTACGAAAACATGGCGCAAACTGGCAGAGCATGCCGTGATGGACGGGTGAGTCTATCTGTTGACATTTATCGTTCTGGAAGTAGACTTTGAGAAATGTAAAAATGGACGGGCTTTATAACACTCAAGCCAAACTACCCTGTTTGACGTCTCTGTACAGATAATGGACTTCCAAAACCAGAACTGATATCCTGGCTTGAACTCAGGAGAGAGCTCTTCGGCACCTTGGGAGAAGAGCAGAAGCTAGGGAAAGGGGTTCGCTCCTCTATAGATGACGTGCACCTTCATCCAGCCATCGAGGAACAGCTGTTTGAGAGTGAGTACTAAGAACCTAGTGTCCCAAAATGGATGGTAGGAGCTCAAGGTTGCCCTCATCGGCATAGCGAGTTCAAGTTTGAACTACATGAGACCCTGTCTCACAAAAGAAAAAAAAAAAAAAGAAGAAGAAAAAAAAAAAACCCATGGTCTTAACCTAAACACATCACATTCAGATTTCTTGTTTTCTTCTCTGATCTTTTCTCCTTCCTGTTTGGCTGACCCAAGGCTTGATGTTGCGTATATTTTAGAGGAGGACAGTAAAGCGTAGTGGTTAGGTATGTGAACTCTGAAGCCTGCTGAATCTAATCTCCTTTTGTAAGCGACTGCCATAGCTGCTTTTCTGTCGTTGCTGCAGAACACCACGACCAAGACAACTAATAAAAGGAGGCATTTAGCTGGTGGCCGAGGGTTGCAGAGGCTTAGAGTCCATGACCATCACGGCAGGGAGCGTGGCGGCTGGCAGGCAGGCGCGGTCCTAGAACGGTAGATGAGAACTCACATCTCCTCCACAAGCAGAGGCAGAGAAAGCCCACTGGGAACCGCAGGGGCTTTTGAAATCTCAAAGCCCAGTGACACAGCTCCTCCAAGAAGACCACACCTCCTAATCCTTGCTAAAAAGTTCTAACACCTGAGGACCCTCACCCTATATGAAAACACGAGTCTTGTGGGGCCATCCTCATTTGGGCCAGTTAGTAGTATTTAAACTCCTTATTATAAAATGATGCAGATCCAAGAGCCTACAGTGTAGTGTTAAAAAGGAATAATCTGTACAGTGCTGAAGTAGTCATTAATGAGGAGTTAAGAATGGGCTAGTTTAACCCACAGAAACAGCTGGCCTGAACAAGGGGGAGCTCTTGGACTCTAGATTGATGGCTATGTGGAAAGCATGGGACTGACCCAGACCCCCTGAATGTGGGTGTCAGTGAGGAGGCCTAGGTAATCTATGGGGCCTTGGGTAGTATTTACCCCTGGTGTACAAATAGACTTTGAGTGCCCACGCCACAATGAGGGATGCTCTCTCAGCTGGGACTCTTGGGGGAGGGCCTAGGCCCTGACCTGGATGACATGACAGTTATTGGAGATCTACCATGGAGGGCCTCAGCCTCCTTGGGGATCGGAGTGGAGACTGGGTGGGGGCCTGGGGGACCTGGTGGGGAGGGATGGGGAGGAGGAGAGACAGAGGGAGCGGGCATTGACATGTCCTAAATAAAATAATAATAATAAAAAGTAGTCATTGATGGAAGCTGTTCTGATGAGGGACAAACAAGGCTTAGACTGGCTTTTCCTATCTTTGTGACCAAAGCAGTCAGTCTTCCAGCCCCTATGATATCAAAAGAGAAGTGACATGCTACCAATATACCATGGCCCGGTACAATATTTACTATTCCAAAAATGGAGAATGGGGTATAGCAAGAAAATAGAGGACCAAAGCAGGACCCATATCCAGCAGGGCAAACACTAAACCCTGCAGCTCCATATCTATCATCTGGGGCTTATGACAGAATCATTTGGGCTCCTTCGGCCCAGGGCAGTTCCATCTCTCTGTAGTACATATGAGCGCTCTCTCTCTCTCTCTCTCTCTCTCTCTCTCTCTCTCTCTCTCTCTCTCTCTCTCTCTCTCTCTCTCTCGGGCCAGCTCCAGTTTGTTCCTGCAATTTTCCCGAGCCGTGGCATCTCTAACGTCCTTGGGTCTGTTCCTAGTTTTACACAATGACCTCTAGAGACTCCCTGCAGGAAGTCTGACCCGGTCATGCATCCTGTGACCTCAGTAGCTTTCTAGAATGGTGTGGGACAAACCTTCATCACCCCTTTATTCTTACATCATCCATGCTGACAAAAAACCCATAACACATGAAGAACGCCGCCAAGTCCTATTGCCAACTTGAGATGTAGCCTGGCCCCCTCTTGACCACACCGACAGCAGCCTCCGTGTGCCGACCACGTTTCCATTGGCATTTTAGTCTGCCAGGTTCCCAGCAGAATGGCCTGTTGAGGTCTTCTTATTGTCATCCTATGGCTTCACATTCTCTTCCACGGTCCTCTGGCAAACCAGGTCCGAGGGCCTAAGAACTACGAGATCAGATTTATCACAGCAGTGACTCCAATCTCCAAGGCCAGTTTTCCGTATTTGTTACCTTTCTAATTGTTGTGATCAAATACCTTACAAGAAGCAAGTTAAGAAATGAAGGGTTGCCGGGCGTTGGTGGTGCATGCACGCCTTTAATCCCAGCACTCAAGAGACAGAGGCAGATGGATCTCTGTGAGTTCGAGGCCAGTCTGGTTATAGAGTGAGTTCCATCCAGTACAGGCTCCAGAACTACACAGACAAACCCTGTCTCGAAAAACAAAACAAAAACCAAAAAAGTAAGAAAGGTTTATCTTGACTCTTGGTCTGTAGGCATACGGTCCATCATGTGGGGTGGCTGATCACATTGCACCTATAGTCGGGAAACAGGCAGGTGAATGTCTGTGCTCAGTTCTTTCTCTCTCTTTCATATTGTTCAGTCTGGGACCCTACCCCATGAAATCGTGCCATCCATATTCAGGGTGATCCTCAGTTAACTCTCTCAGAAATTCCCCACATACATCCAGAGGTGTATTTCAATGGTGATTCTAAGCCAGTCAAGTCGACAGTAATGGGTCACCATCACAGACAGGGATGAAGAGCCACAAAGACAGCGTGTATCTGTGGTATTTGTTAGGGCTGCGTTAGGATCTCATTGCTGCGGTTAAATTCTGATTCTAAGTCTTTGGATGTTCCTGCAGCTCTAATACTGGTCAACAGTTATGGAAGATGACAGTATGTCAGGCACCATATTAACTCATTCACAACCCTCTTTTATCCTGTTTTTTATTTGGGTATATGGATGTTTTGTTTGCATACCAGAAGAGGGCATCAGGGCCCATGGAACTACAGTTATAGATAGTTGTGGGTGCTGGGAATTGAACTCAGCACCTATAGAAGAGCAGGCAGTGAGCCATCTCTCCAGCCCCTTAGATTTATTTATCACACACGTGCGTGCGTGCACACACACACACACAGTCCTGTTTTTATTTATTTTATTAGGCCAGGCATGGTGGTGCATGCCTTTAATACCAACACTTGAGAGACAGAGACAGGCAAATCTTCTCTGAATTTAAATCCAGTCAGGACCACATAGCAAGTTCCAGGCCAGCCTGGGCTACACAGAAATACCATGTCTCAAAAAGAAATCAGCCATTTACTTTGTTATTTATGTATATGGTGTGTATGCCTGTGTGAGTTTATGTGCTCTGTGTGCGTGGAGGCCAGAGAATGGAGTTGAATTCCCTGGAACTGGAACCACCTGTCAATCTCTTCTGCCCTGTTTCCCAGTGTTTACAGGGTAAAGAGCCGCAAACCAGAAGCAATCAGCTTGGCAAGGTTTGCAGTGGGCAGATGGGATTCATACCTATGCAGTCCGTTTCCGGGCCTTAGACCCTACCTTTGAGACTTACATTTTCATCTTCCCACTTTAGTCGTAACCCAGATCTGCTCAGATTAGTCTCTGCAAATGGTTACCGAACTCATTTTGGCCATGAAGTAGAACCATGGTTACCGAACTCATTTTGGCCGTGAAGTAGAACCACGTATCATGTTTTGTAGTTTAGTGGGAGCATCCAACCACCACAGGTTGACGGTTTCATGGACTTTTAGTCATGCCAGAGACAAAACATATACTGAATTCTTCTTTTCATTTTCAGGTAGCCAGCAAGCTGTGAAACCAAGAGGAACCACATGCCACCTCCAGTTAAATCCTCTAGAGAGTCAGCATTCCTTTGGGCTTGTTTTAGTAGAAAAGGAAGATGTTTCCTTCAGGCAAGACCAGGGTGTCAATCTTGTAGATGCACAAATACGCAGCCTTGGGGCTCTAGTTTCAACAGTGCACAGTTCCAATGAGGCTGCCCAAAGAGAAGCACTCCTGAGTCACAGAACCCCAGATCTCTCTGGCTTGCAGAAAGACCCCTCTCGGCCGAGCACCCAACACTCCTGTCCTGTCTGTGGGGAAAACTCTTGGGAGAAGAACCACTTAGTGAAGCGTCAAAAGGGCCACCCCAAGGACCCATCACACGGGGTCTGGAAGGAGCTCGGCAGTCAGGCTGATGCCCAACAGCCGTGGAGCTTCTCATGTCCTAAACGCGGGAGTAGCTTCAGCCCGAAGCAACATTTGGTGGGACATCTAGATGCTCACACAAGGAAGACCCCACCTCAGCGCCCCACATGCAATGTGTACTTCCGCCGTGAACACGCCCTTCTCAGCCACCATCTCAAGCACAATTCTTCCCAGCGCCCTAAATGTGACGAGAGCTTCCCAACGGGCAGCAATGTTCACCAATGCCAGCAGAGCCAAGAGAGGCCAGCCTCCTGGAGGGAAGACACCAGTGTGCCCTCGGGACAAGAGCCAGATCCCAGCCCGGCGGACTATGAGGGCTGCTGCCACGAGGGTGGCAAGCCGAAGAAGGCCCCGCGGTGTAGCTGTTGTCTAGGTAAGGGCAAGCCCTGCTCATGCGCAGGATGTGGCAGTTGCTTCCTCTCACAGTCTAAGCAGGCCAGCCTCTGCAGGGCACACACAGGAGAAAACTCCTTCCGGCGTCCAGACGGCAACGAGTGCCTGCAGAATGTCCGCGGGCGCGTGCATAGCGGGGAAAGTCCGGGCTCCACCCAACGTTGCAAACTCACAGAGCATACCCAACACCTCAGCCGGGTGAAATCATCCTGGTGTGCCCAACGCGGAGGGAACTTCGGCCAAAGGGAACTGAGGCACCAGCAGCTTCCCCCAGAGGGGAAGCCCTTCCGGTGCACAGCTCGTGAGTCGCGCTTCCGTCCGCAAGGCAGCTTGAGAACCCACCAAGCGCGACGCGGGCCGTTCTCCTGCAGCGAGTGTGGCCGAGCCTTCGCCCACCCGTGCAAGCTCCGCGAGCATCTCAGAGTGCACAGCGGGGAGAGGCCCTTCCGGTGCCCCGAGTGCCCCAAGAGCTTCCGCCTGAAGGGCGTCCTGAAGGCCCACCAGCGCACCCACAGCCAGGAGAGGCCGTTCTCCTGCGGGGAGTGCGGCAGGGGCTTCACCAGGCGCTCCAAGCTCACGGAGCACTTCCGCGTGCACAGCGGGGAGAGGCCCTTCCGGTGCCCGGAGTGCGGCAGGGGCTTCCGCCTGAAGGGGCAGCTGCTCAGCCACCAGCGCGTGCACACCGGGGAGAGGCCCTTCCGGTGCCCGGAGTGCGGCAGGGGCTACCGCGTGAAGGCCGACATGAAGGCCCACCAGCTGCGGCACGGCGGGCCGATGCCCTTCTCCTGCCGCTGCGGGAAGGGCTTCGCCAAGCAGTCCAAGCTCACGGAGCACGCGAGGACACACACCGGGGAGAAGCCTTTCCAGTGTCCCCAGTGCGACAAGAGGTTCCGGCTGAAGGCTCAGCTGCTCAGCCACCAGGGCCTGCACACGGGCCAGAGACCTTTCCGCTGCCCTGAATGCGGCAAAAACTTCCGGGAAAGGGGTCACATGCTGAGGCACCAGCGCATCCACAGGCCCGAGAGGCCCTTTGCCTGTGGGCACTGCGGGAAGGGTTTCATTTATAAGTCCAAACTAGCCGAGCACGCCAGAGTGCACGCGAAATCCGGCCAGGTTCCCCGTGATGCCAGCATCAAGGAGAGGCTTGGCCAACTGTTTGCAATGATAGAGGCTGACTGGAGTTGAGGTGGGCGGGCGGGACATGGAAGCTGTGAGCAGAGCTCAACGGCCAGGGTAGTCTGAAGAATGGTGGCTAACCACTGGCAAACAGGCTTTAGGGGAAAAAAAGGGGGTTCTACACTGATCTAAAAAAAGTACAAATTAAAAATGGGAAGCTGCGGGGAATTTTCATTTGAAATACCACTAATTATAGGTAAAAAAGAGGTATTTGTCCTTCCAACTGATCTGAGTGCCTTTCACCCAAATGCAGTTAGCTCGAAAGTTCTGTCTTACACCAGGAGGGAATCCCTCCGGTACCACCGTCAAAGCTAAAAAAGGAGTCTGTTCAATATCAAATCTACTCTTCTGTTCTCTTCAGAGTATGGTTGTAGACGGTTAAACCCAGCAAATTTTATTTCTGTTGTGACACACTTTTAGATTTGCTTTGGATTCTTTTATTTTGAAATCGATGGCAGTAAGGTGATTTCCTGTGAATGCTGAAGTTTCTCATCAGGGTGCTCGGTGATTACCGAGTTGAAGAAACAAAAAAAGCAAAGATGTTGAGACGTTTGGACACAGATCAGGGGTTGAGTTGGTCGATAGAGATTTGGGAGTTCCAGAGTGGAGATGCTATTTGGAACAAAAGTGAATTTCTCAGCCGGGTATTGGTGGCAAACGCCTTTGAACCCAGCACTCGGGAGGCAGAGGCAGGTGGATCTCTGTGAGTTCGAGGCCAGCCTGGTCTACATAGCTAGTTCCAGGACAGCCTCCAAAGCAATACAGAGAAACCCTGTCTTGAAAAACAAACAAACAAAAAAAGTGATATTCTTAAGAATGAATGAATATTTAAGCAACTGACTAAAGTATACGAAGAAGACAAAACAGGTATCATGATATATGAATGACTTATACTCTCAAATCTTTTAAAACTATAGAGATCAGAAAGGGTTTCTTTTAAAGTTAATTTTAAACTCTAATGTTACAGAGAAGGAAACAAAAGCTACCATAAAGTCTCCCCCACAGCTTCAAGCCCAGTTGGTGACTGTGTTGCAGTTCCCCCATCCTACCTGCCCAACAGATTCTCACTATGAAGTCCTGACTGGCCTGGGATTCACTATGTAGACCAGTCTGGCCTCAACTCATATATATATATATATATATATATATATATATATATATATATTGCCTCTGTCCCCAAAGTTCTGGGATTAAAGGTGTGGGCTACCATGTAGAGCTCACTGGACTTTTTAGAGAGATCTCATTCCAGGGCAGGGATTTCTTGCACTGCACTTAATTGAAAAATCTAGAAATCCATGTGATGTTCTGCGGATAGTAAATACCTCAAACCAGACCCGACCCCACTACCTAACTAGTTAATTACAGAAGGGGAGAAAAAGAAGGCTTTTTTTCAAATATAAAAGAACGGCACAAGGGGGAAAAGAATGGACACAACCAAATGCTCGGTGTGAAAAATCACAGGCACAGTTACCAGTAGCACCTTGGATGAGACCAACAGGTGAATAAGAAGGAAATCTTGAGATAAGGAAGATAGGTCAATGATTAGTGAATTGTGATTTGGGAGACAAAGAGATGTTTTAGGGACAAAATGGAAACTTCTATCGGCTTGGCTGCAATTCCTTGCCTCACTCTTCATCAAGACTGGTTTTTGTTATTGTTTTTGTTCGTTTGTTTTTTGAGACAGGGTTTCTCTTTGTAGCTTTGTAGACCAGTCTGGCCTCGAAACCTGCACAGAGATCCGCCTCCCAAGTGCTCGGATTAAAGACGTGCACCACCACTGCCCGGCTGTTTTGTTTTTTAAAACTAATTTATGTGTGCAGGTACTTTACCTGCTTGTGTGTCTGTGGATCATGTGCATGAATGGTTCCCAGAGAAGCCAGAATAGGGTGTGTACTACACTCTGGATCTGGAGTTAGGGCTTGCTGTGAGCTGTCACGTGGGTGCCGGGATTCAAACCCAGGACCTCTACAAGAGCAGCAAGTGTTCTTAACCGGTGAGCCATTTCTCCAGTCCTCTTTATTGGTTTAATATTTACTCATCCTTCTGCGTGTGTTTGTGTATGAGGGCCAGCGCACGTGCCATGGTGCTTGGGTAGAGTTCAGAGGACAACCTTTGGTGTCCGGCCTATTTTTTTTTTCTACCCTGTTTAGGAGGGGCCTCTTTTTGTTTGTCTCTGCGCTGGCTACTCCAAGTGAGTAGGCCCTTGAGCCTCGAGCTTCAGGATCGATCTGTCTCTGCCTTGTACCTCACAATGGAAATGCTGGGATTACAGATGTATGTACCACGGTGTCCAGCATTTTATTTTAAAATTATGTATTTAATTATTTATTTAATTGTATGGGTCTATTCAATGAATGCTTGTGCACCATGAGGATCCAAACTGAGATCATCTGCTGAACCATCTGCCCAATCCAGGAGTCTGGCCTCTAATCCAAAATGCTTCCTCAAATAGCATAAAATATTACAAAATGTATGCACTATTGTGCTCTGAAAACTACTTTGGCACACAGGTTGTTTTTTTTTTTTAATAAATCTCAAATGAAGAAATAAAGTGGTAGAAGCTAAATTCAGTGTCATGCAGTGTGACTCCAGAGCAGGCTTAAAACTCGATAAACTTTTCTGTTTTTAATATAAAATTATGCTTTTTAAAGTATTTTAATGCCTAATTCCCACAAATTCCAACAGCACGTATCATTTTGGTAGCAATATCAAATACTTAAAATAGCATTTAATAACAATAAAACTTAAGGAGTATAATTTTCTTAAGGGGTAGGGATCATGGCACCATGGTAGTCCACATGTATGAGAACTTGGATTGGTCCCCATCGCAAACAAAATTTAAAATGTATTTAGCTGATAAGATTTTAAAAATTAGTGGCCAGTACCCTAAGCATAAAAAGGAAATAACTGAGCCAGCTCTCCATTTCTACAAATTTAGAAATAGCTTACCAAGAGCAATATTATTATTATAGCAAGATTATTATTACAATAATAATAATAGATTTTCCAGGCCTGTGTAGAAAGTCACTGGACATACCTAAATGTTAACCTTGCCCTATGACATCAAAGGTAGTCAGTACTCAGCTATAGGGAAATGCAATTAAAATCACATTTAGAATATTGCTATATTCTAAAACATGATCATAGACTCTGAGTATGAAGAGGAATACAGTAGGCAGCCTCAGACAGCTTCCAAGCATCTAGTTCTGAGGGTAGGTCCCAGAGGCATATTTTAGTCTGTAATTATAATTCTAAGTGGGTATGTCAAGAGAAAGCTAACTTCCATGAAGTGATACAGTGTTTATGTATTTTATGTATATGGGTGTTTTGTCTGCATGCCCATTTCTTTGCATACCAGAAGAGGGCATTGGGTCACCCGGGACTACAGTTATAGATGGTTGTGAGCCACCGTGTGGGTGTTGGGAGTTCAACTTAGGACCTCTGGAAAAGCCACCAGTGCTCTAACCACTGAGCCATCCCCACAGCCTGAAGTGATACTATGTTACAAGTGAAGGATTTAAGAAAAAAAAAAAAAACCCGGGGCCAGTCCTCTGGCCCACCCTTTAATCCCAACCTTGGGAAGGCAGAGGCTGACTATGAGTTTCAGGCCAGCCCGGTCTAAATAGCAAGTTCAGACCTCGTCTAAAACCCCAAAACAAAACAGGAAACGAACCTGGTGTGGGAGAGGTGGCCCAATGGTTAAGGCTACTTACTGCTCTTGCAAAGGATCTGAATTCAGTCTCTAGTACCCACGTTAGATGGTCCGCAAGTACCTAACTCCAGCCATTGGATGATCCGATGCCCTCTTCTGACCTTTGCAGGCACCTACGCTCACTCATGCACGTACCTAACACCTACCTAACACACATAATCTAAAAGTAAAATTGAGGGCCCGGAGAGATGGCCCCGCTATTCTTTCAGAAGACCTCCGTGTGATCTGCAGCACTCACATGATGGCTCACGACCATTTGTGACTACAGTTATGGGAGTTCCAGTACCTTCCTCTGTCCCTCTCAGGCACCAGGCATGTAAGTAGTACATAGACATACATGCAAGCAAAACACCCATGCACATAAAATAATAAAAATTAAAATGAGGGGCTAGAGAGATGGCTCAAATTCAGTTCACAACACCCACACTTTAACTCCAAAAAAAATCCGATGACTTCTCACATTTGAGGACTCTAGGAATACACATACACATGGTACGCACACATACGTGCAGGAAAAACAAGCTTACGTATAAATCTTTAAAAAAAAATCTTGAAATATGGAGATTACGTTTGTTTTCCTGGGCTAAATCGATCTTCTGCTTTTGTCTCCAAAAGTGGGTGAAAGAAAATGTTTCTGAAGATAAATTCATTTCTTAGGGGCTTCATTTGTTTCCCTTTCTAATGAAAAGAATCGCATCAGCAATTTTTTTTAAGTGGAACTATCGTTGAGTTCTCCAGGAAATACAGGAAACTTGTCATCTCATGTGTCATGAACCTCATGAGACCAGAGCACGTAGGCTGTTGTGCCCTGTCTGGTCTTTCCAGACATGTAGTCTGAACTTCCTGATGGTGGACATGCATGCCAGAACTGTCACGGATTCATCCGTAGACAGGCGATCTAGATGGTAAGGGCTCTCCCAATGGGCTGCTTCTCTAGGGAGTGCTTCTCTAGGAGCAAAGGAAAACACATTCAGACTGGCCTAGGAGACTAGCCTATTAGTGTTAAAATGACAACCCAGGAGAGTAGTCATATATATATAACTTTCCCCCTTGTATACATAAGAAAATACTGCTGGACGCGGGCATTTTATCTATTTAGCCTCAGTGGTCTTCTATATCGCTTCAGATGTATTAAACCAAGGATGCCAACACTAATAACCAGCACAGGATTCTCTCCTGGCATGCAAACCTAGTTTCTCCTCCAAAACAGTCACTGTTATCTCTCGATCTAAACCACTAGATTGGTTATCTAATTTTTTTTTAAAGAAAATCATAGACTAAGTCATAGAGTCTTAGTTCTGATTTTTCTCTCTCTCTGAGAAAAGATCTCACTAGAAGTCATGAGTCCCTTGCCTCCAGAGGCGTGGGCCACCACACCCAGCTCTGAATTAATCAATTTACTTCATAACTCCTTCTCTCCCGACCTAACATGCAGGAAAGAAACCCAAGCTTTAATAAGCTCAAACAGAAAAACCAGGAAGCCAAAGAACATGAGAACAGAGGCAGGCAGCGTCCCCGAACTCTCCTTTTTTTTTCCCAGGAGAGCAGCTCTGTCCACTTTTCAGTTTCCCAGTCTTCCCGGACAAGGGCAGGCGGGACCCTAGAATGTCTTATTAGGCTTGCACCCACCCCACCATCCATCTCCTCCGGGTTACTTACACGTGTTCTTCCTGCCTAGCTCGGCCAAAGGGAGCGAGCCTCCAGCCAATCCCCTCCCCTAGGAGCGCCCAAGCCTCGCCTTTGTTCTCCCCCCCCCCCCCACCGCACACTTTCTAAGCCTGTGCGCTCGGGGCAAACCGAGTGGCAGCCTGTGATTGGTGGTTGCGGCGCAGCCAATCAGAACGGGGCACCTCATGCTAGGGCTCGGAGTTTTAAACGCCGAGCTGCGGGGCGCGCCGACGCACTGGGCTCAGGCAGCCGGGGAGGACCGTGTGGGTGGGGCGTCCCGGCTCCCGTCCCGATTCGCGCGGGGATTGGCCGGCCCGTGGCTTCCTCGCCCCTGGCCAATCGGCGGGCAGAACTTCCTGGAGGGTTTTTTTTTTTTTTTTTCCTCCCCTGGCTCCGCTCCGGCGTCGCTCGGGAGGTCGGTGAGAGCTCGGCGGTGGCCCGGATACCTGCAGGCCTCGTTCTCTCGCTCCGCAGCCCACCATGAAGCTCCGGAAAGCCTGTCTGCTGGTCCTGCTCTTGGCCCTGACTCAGCTGCTGGCTGCGGCGAGCGCTGAAGATGCGCAGGAAGGTGAGCGGGGTGGGCGGGCCGGAGCTGGCGAGGAGCAAACGTAACGTGGGTTGCAAAACCTGGTGAGGGGCGCCTGACGGGGTGGTTCGCGCAAAAACACACACACACACACACACACACACACACACACACGCACACACGCACACATACACACACCCTTGCGAGAATTAGTGACTCCGAGTCCGCCGCAGACCTGCTGGAGTTTCAGTGCAAGGGGGGGCTTGGCCCCTTGTGAATTCCTTACTCGTAAGACGTGGAAGGATTTGCTCCTCTTGCCCTGGTGAGTAAAAATTCCTGGAGAGTAACTCTCCCATGGAGGGGAAGGTCAGACGTTGTTTCCAAAACCGGTTCTAGAGAACGGGACGTAGGCGGGAGAGCCGCTCGTAGGACCTGTAAGAGTCAGCCGCGGATATCGGGCATTTACTTAAAAAAAAAAAGTGGAATTTGGAAATAACGCAGGCTTTGTTTTCGTCTCTCGTGGAAACGGTAGCTGCCGTTCCTGCTACAAACAATGTTGGGCAGCACCTGTTTTGCATGTACTCTAGTGGGAACAGTGTTTGTAACGCATAGACGTTATGCCCCCCCCCACACCTTTTCTTCGAAATCATATAACCGAAAACATGAGAGCTTTGAAATTAGGAAGTACTAGTTAACATCGCTGTTCCTAGAGAGCAGATCTGATCGACACCTTTCCCCTATCCTCCTAACCACTAGCTTGTTGCCTACCGTGTTTATTCTAATATAAACAAACCCCATTTTCTAAGATAAGTGCGTTGGGGGGGGATGTGAACTTTATACTCTTAGGTTGAGTAAGATCCGCATGGATCATTGATTCATGGCAGAATAGACTGGGGGCGGGTACACGTGAAAGTTTGCGAATCAGTGTGATTTGGTGGATATTTTTAGAACATAGCTAAAAAAAAACCACTTGGCTTTTTTTTTTGAGACAGTTGTCTGTTTTAGGGTGGTATTTGTTTTGAGACAGGCTTGGAGCTGGAGGCTGGCCTTGAACTCAAGAGATCTGCCTGCCTCTGCCTCCAAGTGCTGGCGTTAAAATGCATGTAGTGTGAATTCTTGAGAGGCCTGGGTGAGTGGATTTCAAAGGCTGTTTAGACTAGCCAGTGTTTTATCTTTTGGGTCACTGTTGCAGTCCCTGGGAAACAGTTTGCCCCGGGTGAACTCAGGAATCCCTGGGGTGTCTGGGCCAAGGACAGTCCTCCTGGGCTGCTAGGTCCTCAGGTTTGGTAGGGCTGGTGATGTGGTTCAGTGATACATCACTTACCCAATATCTACAAGGTATTGGATCCCACCCCCAGCACTGCAAAAGGAAGGGAGAGAATTCGGTTTCGCTCTCTAATGCTTGGTGTATACAAAATATCATCTATAATGATTGATCATCAACTACCTCTCTTTTCTTGCTGTTCACTGCTTACTGTTTGATGTTGGCCTAAAGGTTGTTTGTCCAGCTAGCTGATAGTAGCTTCTCCTTGGCAAGGTGGATTATGGCCCACTGAAGAAGTAGGCCATCCTTACAGTAAGTTACTGCCAGTGCCTGGCCTGGTCAGGATGCAGTGTTAATCTTCAAATTTGTTGGGTGTATAGTGGACAGGGATTACAGTAACCTCGTAGGTGTCCCGTCTTGCAGGAGTGTCCAGCCTTACCTTGTGGGTGTGGAATGTTTCGTTTGTTTCATGCCAAGGAAGGCTGCACCCTTTCAGAAGGCGCTGGGAGGTTTTGAATCTATTTTCTAGGCTTTAAAAGTGAAACCAGTCCGGAGGTGTAACTTGAGTTTGTGGAGTGCTTGAATAAGTGGGTTTCGTTCATGAAGCTCCTGAATTCAACCCTTAGTAACATTTCAACTAAGCATAGTGGCACACACACACTTGTAATCTCAGCCCTCCAGAGTTGGAGACAAACTAGTTCAAGGCCATCTTCTGCTGCATGCGGAGTTCATAGAAGCCTGGGATATATGAGATTGTCTAGGGAAAAGTGAAGCCTAGCTAGAAGTAATCGGTACAATAAGACATGGTTAGCTTGCAGGGATGTGTTGGTTCCTGATAGACAGGATTAAAAAAAACTATTGATTGAAGATGTAATTCCGTGGGATAGCACTTACCTCAAATGTACAAGGCCCTGAGTTTGATCTCTATCACAGCAAAAACAACAAAAAGACTAATAGAGCTAACCCCCTTCTCAAATTGCAGCGGAATCAACCTTTTAGTTTTCTGGATTGGGGGCAGGGTTGGAAAGATGGTGCTTTTAACCACTAAACTATTTGTCCAGTTCCCAAAATCATCTTTTTAGTTGTATTTATTTATTTGGTATTTTGAGACAGGTTCCTCTATGTAACAGCTCTGGCTGTCCTGGACCTCAATTTCTAGATCAGGTTGGCCTTGAACTCACAGTGCCGGGATTAAAGGTGTGCACCACCACCATCTGTATTTGTTTTATAACTTTGCGTGTGTGTTTGGGTATTTTGCCTGTCTGTGTGTCTGCGTACCATGTGTGTTCAGTGCCTGCAGAGGCCAGAAGAGGAAGCTGGAATCCCTGGAACTAGAGTAAGACAGTTGTGAGCCGCTACATAGTGGCTGGGAATGGAATCCTAGACCTTCCAGAAGAGTACCCAGTGCTCTTAACCATCTCCTCTGGCATGTTTAATCAGGAAAGATCCCTTGCTGATGAGAGCCCACTTTGGGCTAAGCATGGGCAAAAAGTCCCTTGGGTTTAAGGAGTTGGGCCGCAGAAAGGCTGTCTCAGACAAAGAGAAAAGTCTTTGTATTATTTCTTCTTCTTCTTTTTTAAATTCACTCTGAGGGCTGGAGAGATGGCTCAGCGATTAAGAATGCGTTCTGCTCCTCCAGAGGACCTGAGTTTGATTCCCAACAACCAACATTAGGTAGCTCACAAACACCTGAACTCTAGCTCTGGGACAGAGCCTCTGGGTACCTGCGCTCATGGGCACATGGGCACATACTTACACATAGTTTTAAAAATAAATCTGTAAAAAAAATAAACAACTCAGTTTTCCTTTTATGATCTTAATCTGAGATAATCAAGCATGTAGCTGTGTTTTAAGTATTTTTTAAGTCTGGTTTTTCTCTTTGAACAAGTATTTATTTGTTTGTTTATTTATTGAGGCAGGGTTTCTCTATGTAGCCTCAAACTCAAGAGATCAGCCTTCCTCTCCTAGCCATGTTTCCTAGCTTGAAGAGTGGACTGAATTCCCTAATGCTTTCTTTCTAGTCCCTGACTGGAACAAGTAGCCTGCAGGCAGAATGAATATGGTTGACCACAAACCCTGCTTAACTTCTCCAGCCTCCCTGAATGCAAAGATGAGATGCCCACCAGGCATTCTACTGGGGCAGAGAAGCCACAATACATGCTTGCATCCAGCAGATCATTTAGGGAGTGGGAAATATTGGGTCTGCCTTTTAGAAAATCACTGTGAGTGACTAGTGGGCCATTCCGTGTAGTGTACGTGAAGTCCTAGCATTGGTCAGTAAGTGCTTCCCCTGTTAGGTTGTTATAGGCAGAGCTCTTGAAGGACCAGCAGCATTGGGCTTGGTGAACTTAGTGTTAAATATTAAGGGTCCCAAAGGATGGTTTGCTGTGATTCAGGAGCACCAGTACATACGGGGTGGACTGTCAGTCACGACTGGGAATGGATTCAGCCTGATGTGAGTATAAGAGAATAAGCCATCATACTTGGCTAGGGACTCATATCCTCTTCACTCTGCTCTTTCCCGGACACCTGACAACCTGTCCCCTTGGTTCTTCCCTATCCTGAACACCTGTTTTGATGGTGCCCAGAAGGAGGAAGAAGTAGGCAGGAGAAGCACAAGCCAGCTTGGTTTCTACTCGGAAAATGGGCATCTTAGAGCTATTTCTCTTACCTCTAACAAAGGAAGAATGTAGGCCTAAATTGCAGAAAAGGCAAGGCGGGAAAACGTAGTGTGGAGTTGGAGAAAAGTGAATAAAATGTGGCTAATGGAGATGAAATGGCAGTAGAGTCTTTACAATTATTCTACAGGTTGGTAAATTTCATTGATAGTGATCAAAGCTGACCCCCACAACTCCAGAGCTTCAGAGTTGTAGAAGAGCCATGTCATGGGTGTGTGGGTGTAACACAGGGTCCCATCGTACCCACAATTATAGAACCAACATTGGATCGCTTAATACATTCCACACGCCTCGGGTACACTCACAGTCCCAAACAGTCACTAGCAGCGTTCTTGACGGAGCTTCTGGAAAAAAAAAAATAATTGGCCCTTTGACACGTCCTGGCTTTAGAGTGAAAGGAATAGTGTACTTGCTGTGCATAGATCTGTTTACTGCCGTTACAGTCGGTGTAGAAACTAGTTAGTGAGAACCAGAGCTCCATACTTTCTTGCATCTGCAGAGTTAACAGCACAGGTGGTGGCGGCGGCGGCGGCGGCCTCATCTGACAGTAATGCACACGTCTCATCGCAGCAC